TTTTCGACATTTGGCAGCCAGGCCAGGGCGGCCTTGAGATGGGTGCCGGTGCGGGAGCAGCCAAGAAGGCCAAGTATAGCACTGGGCCCGGGGGACCCAGCGGAACCGGCAGAACCGCATCGGTTTCACGCATCGTGGAACGCTAAAATGGCAATGTATATATAGCAAATGGATGCAAATGGTAATGTATGGCATGTGTGAATGGATGCTTTAAGATGATTTATGTGTTTGTTAAGTCCATTTCAGTGTGAATTGGCAGTGAAATAGTATGAAATAGTGAAACACAGTATGTATGATATATAGATAATCACTGATAATCAAGAATACCATAGTGATACATATCATTAGTCCAACATGCATCATTACAACCTTTAAAACACCGCCACGCCCCGTAAACCAAGGCCCGAAATCGACGATCAACCGGGCTTTGTACCTTGGAATCACCAAGTCATCGGATGGGGTCCCATTTTTGGAAACCTCCCAGCGTGGCGAATGATCGCCGCTGATAGAGGTTCTAGTTCCACTTGAGAAAACTATTTAAATTCATATTTAAATGGAACCTCATTCTTGAGCCACTATTTGATAGTATATGTGTAAAACCTATACTCAGGGGTAGATTTCTATTGTTCCATTCCATGCAGAGACTTAGAGTTGGACCACCAAGGACCATGACGCATGGCGCACGCCGAAGATTCGTGGGCTGGAAACTGAGGATGTACTCCTTGGGTTGGCATTTCTGACTGATGGGGGACAGATTGAAGCTAAAAGACACGGTTGAACATAATTATAAGCTACCCAGCTTGTCAATGACTATATCTAGCAGTTTGCAAATTGGGAAAACATGGAAAAACGCAATTTCATCAATTTTCGATTGGTACCCTCTGGTAATTTAACATAGCTATTGAAAATCACCATGCTATTAATGGGAAAATCCACTATAACTGGCAATTTTCAATAGCAAACTGTTGAATTACCAGAGGGTAAATCGCAAAAAATCATCGAACTCAACGGGCCATACCATCGCTTGGTGCCGCCCTCACCAGGCAAGCCCAGCCTTTGTCCGAGCGTCGGGACGCCACGCCGTCTTGGTCCCCGCGGCAGGCGGCTTAAACTGCGTCATGCAGTTTACCCTGCGGTGAATAATGGACAAAATATGGGAATATTATATATATATATATACATATATATGGTGGGAATATCATTAATGGTGAATATAATCTATTAATATATGGGGAATATATATGGGTTTGGACCTGAAAATGTTGGGTATATTCCCAATGAAATATCCATTTAATAGGGATAATGATCAGCAAAACCATTGGGTAAAAAGGGGTACACTATTTTCAGACACACCCATATATATATATATGGTGAATAAGCGTTAATAACGATCATTAATGGTGAATATCTAATCGATTTAAATAGACAAGGATTGGAGAATATCTGGATATTAAGTGATATTAATAGTGGTCAACAATGGTAGTCGGAAATAAGGGCGATATATCAACCATCACCTGGGCAGCCTTCAGTGAAGTCAAATAGTCAAATAGCATTGTGTTCTGATTATTGATTTGTTTCATGTCTACTGCCCGTGACATTATTTTCTGCGAGCCCAACTAATATAGGTTTATAGGTGATATCCTAGTAACGCCATCAAACTTATATATTTACACATTAAGAAACTGCACAACAAGGTTAGTTAATGGAATGACGGTATATATATATAATATACACCTTAAATGGCCTCTTGGCCAAATATCGGAACTCACCCACATGCTGCATAAATAAATATATATATATATATTATAGAGAATGCTTGTGTTTAAATATCCACCAATATTTAACTTGGGGATTTGTTGGACATGATCAATGGTTAGCAAATTGGCCCAAGTAAATGTGGTGCTGTTTTTTGGAAAAAATCACACCGCTCCCAAAGTCCCAAAGTGATTTGGACTGAGAAAGGCTGCAAGTAGAAGGACACAAAGACTTTGCGATGATGATTATTGATTGGGCCGGTAAGAATTTGAGACTATTTAAATTTCTGGGTCTATTTTAAAAAATAAAAAGCCCCATGCTGGCAAAGGTCGGGAGCGCTCCCAACCTTGGCCAGCCTCATGTTGATTATCTTAATGCAGTGTGTTCAAAAACGCAATTTAGGTTGGCAAAGGTCAAAACGCCCACCCAACACTAAGAAGATTATAGGCTGGCAAAGGTCGGGAGCGCTCCCGACCTTTGCCAGCCTCATGCTGGTTATCTTAAATGCAGGTGTTCAAAAATTCAATATAGACTGGCAAAGGTCAAAACGCCCACCCAATACTACGGAGATGATAGGCTGGCAAAGGTCGGGAGCGCTCCCGACCTTTGCCAGCCCAAAATTTTAAAAAATAAAAAAAATACAGAAATCTTGGAGCTGCATTTAAGCAAATCACCTTTGCCAGGATGGGGCCGATTTGGCCCCATCCTGGCAAAGGTCGGGAGCGCTCCCAACCTTGGCCAGCCTCATGTTGATTATCTTAATGCAGTGTGTTCAAAAACGCAATTTAGGTTGGCAAAGGTCAAAACGCCCACCCAACACTAAGAAGATTATAGGCTGGCAAAGGTCGGGAGCGCTCCCGACCTTTGCCAGCCTCATGCTGGTTATCTTAAATGCAGGTGTTCAAAAATTCAATATAGACTGGCAAAGGTCAAAACGCCCACCCAATACTACGGAGATGATAGGCTGGCAAAGGTCGGGAGCGCTCCCGACCTTTGCCAGCCCAAAATTTTAAAAAATAAAAAAAATACAGAAATCTTGGAGCTGCATTTAAGCAAATCACCTTTGCCAGGATGGGGCCGATTTGGCCCCATCCTGGCAAAGGTCGGGAGCGCTCCCGACCTTTGCCAGCCTCATGGTGATTATCTTAAATGCAGGTGTTCAAAAATTCAAGATAGGCTGGCAAAGGTCAAAACGCCCACCCCATACTACGGAGATGATAGGCTGGCAAAGGTCGGGAGCGCTCCCGACCTTTGCCAGGATGGGGCCAAATCGGCCCCATCCTGGCAAAGGTGATTTGCTTAAATGCAGCCCCAAGATTTCTGTATTTTTTTTATTTTTAAAAATTTTGGGCTGGCAAAGGTCGGGAGCGCTCCCGACCTTTGCCAGCCTATCATCTCCGTAGTATTGGGTGGGCGTTTTGACCTTTGCCAGTCTATATTGAATTTTTGAACACCTGCATTTAAGATAACCAGCATGAGGCTGGCAAAGGTCGGGAGCGCTCCCGACCTTTGCCAGCCTATAATCTTCTTAGTGTTGGGTGGGCGTTTTGACCTTTGCCAACCTAAATTGCGTTTTTGAACACACTGCATTAAGATAATCAACATGAGGCTGGCCAAGGTTGGGAGCGCTCCCGACCTTTGCCAGCATGGGGCTTTTTATTTTTTAAAATAGACCCAGAAATTTAAATAGTCTCAAATTCTTACCGGCCCAATCAATGATCATCATCGCAAAGTCTTTGTGTCCTTCTACTTGCAGCCTTTCTCAGTCCAAATCACTTTGGGACTTTGGGAGCGGTGTGATTTTTTCCAAAAAACAGCACCACATTTACTTGGGCCAATTTGCTAACCATTGATCATGTCCAACAAATCCCCAAGTTAAATATAGGTGGATATTTAAACACAAGCATTCTCTATAATATATATATATATATATATTTTATTTATGCAGCATGTGGGTGAGTTCCGATATTTGGCCAAGAGGCCATTTAAGGTGTATATATATATATATATACCGTCATTCCATTAACTAACCTTGTTGTGCAGTTTCTTAATGTGTAAATATATAAGTTTGATGGCGTTACTAGGATATCACCTATAAACCTATATTAGTTGGGCTCGCAGAAAATAATGTCACGGGCAGTAGACATGAAACAAATCAATAATCAGAACACAATGCTATTTGACTATTTGACTTCACTAAAGGCTGCCCAGTCACAGGGATTTATAATAAAGATTTAATGAGATTTTACCCTTTTCTAAACCGACACGGCAATGTGTAATCACCATGTTTAATGAGCAAGACATCTATGAATGGACCGTTTTCCAATGCAATGTCAAAGTGCCGAACGGTATTTCTATTGATGTGTGATGCCCCCCCAAGCCCCAGCCTCCAAAAAAAAACCACTGCATGATGAAGGCTCCCACCAATTGGCCCCAAGGGCTACTGATTGAAATATATTTCATCCCCCCAATATTTTAGACCATATGACTTTCCAAAATTAACAGATCTAATACTAAACCAGCGTTTGTAGGGGTTATTTCATTCATATCCAGTGGAAGAAATGATTTCACCAGCAGAAGGCTGTTGACAGCAGAAGTTCAGTCCCAGCCACCTGGCCCAGGGTGGCAAACCCGTGACGATCAAAATCGATAAGTTGGGGAAGCCCATGCCGGTAGACACGTGGATTTCCTTTCCAGTTGGGAAATCATCCGTGGTCCTTGTCAATGATCAAATGGAGGCACTTTCAAGTGGAACCCGTTTTTTTGGATCGTGGAACCCGTTTTTTTGGATCGTGGAACCCATTTTTTTAGATCGTGCAAATCTGCGAAAACCATGGGCCAATTGTGAAGGTTGGGTCTGTTCTTGGGCATAGGCCGGCTGTGTTTTTTTTTTAAAATAAATGTGACTAAAGACGGGCTATGTCGCTATGTTCAAGATTCAAGGCATGTTTGCTTTCTCATGACCCATGAGATCCCACTTCATGGGGGGAACATTCTTGGTTACAGGGTTTTTAACAGGGCTGTCAACCTTCATTTTTGGAGTTAAGCCCCTATTTGTGGAAGGGCCACCGTAAAAAATGAGTTCATGGATATATGAAGCATCTGAAAAACACATCTCATCACATACCAGGTTCAATCCAGAAAATATGCAGAACATGTTCACACAAAGGTCACCCTTAGATTTCCAGGACACACATGTATTGTTATTGTTCATCTCCTCCGCCCCACAGCTGACGCCTCAAGCCGCGGCGAAGCCGCGGCGAAGCCGCGGCCACCGCCGCGCGGTAGATGCGAGTTGGGTGAGGGGCTTGGCAAGTCACGGCTACTGTGAATTGCTGACATGGGCTGACACTGCAGACGTTTTGTGAGTAAAAACTGTTATACGGTATATATATACACAATTATACATATATACTTATATAATATAATGTTATATATATATATATAGTTATATTTATACGTATGTATATTATTGATGATTGGCTTATGAACGGCCACCAAGCGCCGGATATGAGGGATTTTCTGTGTTTTTTTTCTTTAGCTGCTCAAGTTGCCCCTCACCAGGCAGGATGCGAAAATTCTTGACTGAAGATCAGTTGGACAGGTGCTGTGGGGCGGCGACAGTTTGACCAACCATGGGTGGTTGAGTGGCAATGACTGCCTATTTCTTGGGGATCTTGGGGTCATTAAATGGCTTATGAACGTAGCGGAATTGGAAACTCTCCAGTTCTTGGGGTGCCTAACTTTGAGATACTTTGAGCGGATAGCCTTGGATAGCCGTTAATTTGCTGGCATATATGTTGGCATGCGGTTGTCCCAAGTCTATAGGTGCTTTTCCCTTGCTAGTTTTGGCAGGTTGGGGGTTGATTCCTGGAATTGCAGCAGCACCCAGCTAGTTGCAACCAAATAAACCTGCATGATACCTTGGGTTTGCCCAAGTGGATCAATATTTTCATGGCAATGGCAATCAGTTAATCGACATCACTTCCCATCCTTGGCCCGGTGGTTCTGCATCATTGCATTCCCCTGGTGGAATATTTTGGCACCAATGTTATCCCAGTTTTTTTTGCTATTTATTCATTGCATAAGGGGCTACCCCATTTAACATTATAAGTTATAAGCCTGTTTTGATCTTCTAATTGGAGTTAAGCGTTTAAGAGTCAGGGTTTCTTAATCCGGGGTTGACATTATTTGTTATGTGGGGTTCCGGGTGGAAAGCATTTGACTGTTTGGTGGTTGGGAGGCAGCTAAAGACCTAAGGAGCTATGGTTGTATCGACAGTCTTAAATGGGGAGCCAAGGGGCTACAGAGTTTCCCAACCAGATGATAGTTCTTACACGCGGGGAAAGGATTCAGTCAACTTCATGTTTCAATTTCGGTCGTACTAGGCCGAGCAAGCCCACTGAGACAGTGCCTTTGTCAGGGGCAAGCGAGGTAGGTGGCTTGCCAGTGCCGGATAGACAATGCATGGCAATGGCAAAAATTGCTACCCTTAGAACTTTGGTAAGCAAGCATTGCAATGGAAAACGTCCCATCATAATATACGTTATATAGATGATTTTCCCGTATTAAGTGCCAATTGATAGGGGATTTCGATGGATTTTGCATTGCGATGTTTGATTATACTGCGTCAACCTTAGAAGAGTGGCCATTTAGAGGCATGTCAAGCTGTCCAGCTTGAACATGCTCTAACTCTTTCCAAGCGTACCTAAGTGTAAGGGAAGCCATGAAAACACAAAACTGGCTTTCGTTTGGTCTAATTCTTATCAATGGCTTGGTTTAAGGGAAAATCTTAACCGGAAACCATAGATTTTCCCATTAAATATGGGGTTTTCCTGTAAATTTTCCCTAAAACCAATCCATTGATATGATCTATTTTTTATCCTACCTGACATGATGATCCGATGGGAAGTGGGTTCAAATCACGAGCAGCAGAACGATGGAACTGCAGTTTTGGTGTCAAATTGGAAGACTTCGAGGGTCAAAAAACGCCTTGTTTCGGGCTGAAACCGACTGAAACCTGACGGACCAAGCCATGTAGCAATCTTTTCAAAAGGTGCAGGCGCCCTTTTGCCACGAGCAGCCTAGATAATAGCGGCTGCAGTTATGTTCCTAATGAGCATTGAATTTCCATGCCTTGGGACTGGTTTACTGACTCTTGACATCCCCTAAAACCAAAATTTTGACATCAAACTTAGAATTTGTGCCCCTGCTCAAGCAATTTTTGGTACCGCAAACGGTATTAGCAAACACCAGGCACAAACACCAGATTTATGCTGTTTGAGCCCCACATTTTCACCAAAAATCGCATTTGAAGCATCACATTTCTGCGCGCGCCCCTTTTCCATTTTCCAGCACCTTGCCGTGCACAGCCCACACCCCTCCAGGCTAAGTTTTAATTAAGCCAGCTACGGGCTAGCCAATATATAATTGTATTTGCCGTAAATCCTATTATCAGTTATTGAACTTGTAAATCAACAAAAAGCTATCGTTTGGGGGGCCCCACATTGGAACACCTTGTATGCAGCTGTTCGCGATATGGCATATGAGTCAAAACCTATTCTTACCACAGGGGGAAAAGACATCCATTAGCCAGCCATTTTAGGGTACCATCCGGGTGCCAGGTATTTTGCGCGTGGCCATAATCTATCCATATCCATCTATATCCCCAAATACTACTATATCATATATCCCCATCTATATGAGGCCATATCCCCATCTATCCCTCAATTTGGGGTTGCGAAAAACAGAAAAACTGAGGCGGTCTCTGAGACCAACGATGACCATTCCACCGAGGAAATCCCGAGATCGCGGCGGTTGTAGTGATTGGTTATGGAAATCTCAATATTGAATTCCTTCTTAGCGATGGGTTATATAGCTATAAATTATTAATGGTTCTACGACCCTGTACAGCTCGTTGATTTCTTGACATAAAGAGGTATCGTTGATATTTATATATATATACAAAGAATTATATATATATATATATTTGTGTTTTTGAAATATGTTGTTTGATGTTGTTTGATATTTTATATCTTGAAGCATTAATCTTTTTCATGGCCACCATCATCATGCCAATCAACCCGTCCCGGGGTTAAAGTAGACCGCGATTGAAATTGGCCAAGATCTCCCTCCACTTTGGCACATGCAGATTTTGGCCGTGATGTGTTTTTAAGATATTTTAATTCCAAGAGTTGTAAGTCACCGCGTGTTTATCAAGCTCTATTAGTTACAAACTCTGATACCTCTAACAGGCATCTCTCTGACATCTTCTGACATACATGTCTCACACCTAGGATTGGCACATATTGGCACATCACCTTCAGAAACACCGCAGCCTCAGTAGAACTGATAGGATTTGGATGGATTTGGGAAATCATCCCCAATCGCCAATAGCATTAATTATCGTTTGTCCAGATGATGTGAAATTGCGAGAACCATGAGTTTCACTGCCCAACACGGTGGTTCATCCCAGCCAGTGGGTTACAACCCCGGCCCCAGTTGTAAGTAGGGTAAGTAGGGTTGGTCCAGTTGTAACTGGTTATTAACTTATAACCCGCTCATTATTAAAAATTATTACTGGGGTGAACCACCAAGTGCTGTAAGTCTATCCATCCCTGTGATATTGAATATTTGTAGTGTACAATAACCATCAATAACCCATATATGAGCCAAATAGGATTAATTGGGGCTAGTATGGGCTATTCCATTATTGTATGATGGGTTTATCATCACCGCCGCTCAACTGCGGACACATAGGACACTTCATCAAGTAGTTCTTCCACCTCGCACAACTCCGAGAGGTGCTTGTCGGTGCTTGTCGTGCCCGGGCCCGGTGCAGCGTGTCTTGAGATAAGCAAAACAACGTCCTGACCCAAAATGGCAACAGCTGAGGGTAAGATGTTTTGGTTTAATTAGGAGCTTTGCCTTATAGGGAAGATTTACGGGAAAGCCTTTCATCATCGTTCAGATTTTGATGGTAATTCCAGGGTTTCCTGTACCCTCAGCCCAAGCCCATTCATTACCCATCATGTTTGGTCATGCCGCTGTTTTTCTTATCAGAAGCCCAATTTGTTGTTGGTGAAAAATCCTGCATCTTTATCATATGAATCCGTTGATTAACCTAAAAACCCCATATTTGGATGGCAAAACCATAATTTCCTGGTGTTTCCTATGGGTTTTCCCTTATAGCAACCAGAAATATAAGATAGAAACAGACACTACCACCATTCAAAATACTTAATTTGACCGTTTGCGCCTCTTTTTTTGTGGGTTGCTGGACAAAGACTGCCACCACTGCATGATTTGAAGACTTGAGACGCAGGGAAGCTTTGAAGGAAGCAGCTGGAAAACTCGGTTCTGTCCTCAGTATGAAAGGGGGTCACAGCATGTTTTCAATTCACGTCATATATATATATATATCGTATATATTCATATATCTGCCTATTGATTTATTTGTTTATGTGTTTAATGCTTTGAATTGAACACCTTTTCATCAAATAACCTCTGTTCAGTAATGGCTGCTTACTCCTCCATGTTGGCCAAATCAATGGTTATTAATGGCTATTAGTGGATATTTATGGATGTTGTCCCCCATTTGGGTCATGTTTTTTCTACCCCCGTTGGGGGTAAAGACTGGCTCATTGATCTTAGGCCCAGATCAGGAGCTCGTTACGGTCACTTGGAACGGTAGCATCCTGTAGTTTTTCCATATTTTGTGGGATACACTCCCCGGTAAACTAACAGTTCGCTACGGAAAATCACAATTTTTAATAGGTGAATCAACTATAATCAATAATACTGATTGATAGGATAGTAACCATTACCATTACCCCTCCGGTTGATAATGGTTAACAGTGGTGAATAAGGCTTACTGTAATGATGGGACAAACAACCAACAATAATGGATGGATATCATAAAATACAACCATGACTGTGAAAATTCTATGATTTAATGGGACAAATAATGGAAGATATGTTGGGGATATGTCAACCGTCATAGGGATATACGGCAATAGGGATTTAATGGAATCATATGTGGAGATATACCATCCGGAAAATAGTGGTTACTAGTGGTTAATAAGGCTTAATAGTAGGAAAACAACCAACAATCATGGATGAAGAATGGATAATGGGGATATACCCTCCGGTAAACTAAGAGTTTGCTATGGTATAGATGGCCCAGTTACTGTAGTTCGTTGATTTACCTAAAAGTGGTGATTTCAATGGCTATGTTATGTTAGTTTACAAGAGGGTAACTGGGGAGCTCAACCACTTTATATTATTTTATATTATCTTTTTGTCTGGAAAAGATCAAAGCACTTTCAGGAGCAGTGATTGAAATATAGCAGCAACTTGGGCTAGCTACTGACCAACTGAAAGCAAATCGCAGGGTGCTGAATTTCAAGAGCATAATCAAATCTATATTTTGCCCTTTGGATTCATTTCAGGAAGCTTGCAGAAGCAGTTTGATGCCTTTCCGACATCATTGGCAGGAGTGACGTCTTCGAACATGTCGGTCAGGTGATGTATAGAAGCATCCCTCGTTGCATTGTCACACTGACAGATAGACAGATAGGTAGGTAGGTAGGTAGATGGATGGATCGATAGATGGATAGATCGACAGATGGACCGATCGATAAATAGATAGATAGGTAGATAGATAGAAATAGATTTATAGATACATAGATAGTCAATGAAAGATAATATGATAGATCATTATAGTATAGATAATTGTATTTTTGGAGATGCATCACGATAGATAATGATAGATTATGGATCATGATAGGTCATGATATCGATGTAGCCACTGTGAAGCATGTGCAGATGTTGGAGCATCCTGGATCTGTCATGTTGGCGGTCCTTTGACTCCATCTAATTGGGTTTGATAAATGGGGTCGAGAAACTTAGTGACTTAGTTGATGAAGAGGGAACGTGCCCCTTTCTTGCATTGATTTCTAGGAATCGCTGAGGAAGGGTTTTACAATTCTGATTCAATGCAACTATTGAAACTATAGGATTCTATAGGCTTGATCAATGGGGTGGAACAGCATGGAACAGCTGCGTTCATTGCTCAAGCCACTTTTCTGCCCAAATGATCGGATCCCATTCCGGCCCATTCCTATAATTTTCTCATGCGAGGTTTCTTCTGGGAGGTGTATGCGAGTAATTAGTATGGGAATGGGAATGCCATCATGAGGCTCCCTATAAATATAACTTTTTATTTTCGTACCAAAAAAAACATCATATCGTCCCATACTAGCTTTCCACACTATCCAAAATCAACAAAAAGTAGCAGAAAATCCCAGAAAAAAATCCCAGGCTTCACATATTTCACATGGCTTTCCGAGGACAGTTTTTATTTCAACGTGGCCAGCAGCTTCGTATCCTTCATGAACCTCATCTGCCTGGGTCTGGAGGTGGACCTGCGTCCCTTGGATTCCCTTGGACCTGTCGGACCTGTCATGCAGTAGTTGAAAACAGACTTTGTGGTTGTTTATCAAGTGATAAACATTGGTAATACATGGTAATACCGGTATAACATGGTATAAGAATATGAAAATCTATGACATGTTCTAGAAATTCTTAAGATTTGGATGTGGATGTTTCATGATGTTTCATGTTTTTTCCAAGTTTTGACTTGGGAAAACAACCTGGCAACATCGGTAGCACGGCCACTGCCTCCTGAGGCTGTCCCACAGCCATGTGCAGTAATCCAACCGAGTATTGGGACCCGTGGTGATTTTCGTGGCGACGGGGATGACAACGGATGTTTGTTAATGGGATTTCATGGGCTACAACCAGCAAGCATTGGGATTTAATGGGAAATCATTGGATCGACCAACAAAAATGGTGACTTAATGGGATTTCATGGAATATAACCGACCAAATGCGTGATTGAATGACAAAGAATTGGGAGATATAGGCTATCTGGATCTATCTGGTGGATAGGTGGAAGCATTGATAGGAGTTATGATTGTATCAGCATCCATATTTCCAGCAAAAAATGGGAATCCAGTTGGAGCAACCCATGATGAACTGGTGTTACTCATTGGTTGAGGTATGGAAGGTATGTTGGTTATTCAGAGTCCAGATTTTGAGTGCAGGGAACATGTGTCAACAGAGTTGGGGATCATTTTCAAGGGGTTTGGAGCCTCAGAAAACCTCGTGGAGCTGAGGACTTCATTACCCAGGGCTTCACTGCGCCTTGGAGATTTTTCAACGGAGGGGCCAAGACACCTATCCCGGACCTGTGTGGGATTTCTCTATAAATACATATGCATATACATACAGTCTGAGCAATTTTGGGATGATAACGGGAAATGATGGGAATATAATGAGGACACACACACACACATATATATATTAAATACCATATCATAGGGACATAAGGATACTGGGTGATTTGTAAAACACGGCCCAACGTCACCAGAAATGACGGCCGAAGTTTAAGTGATTGGCAAGTGATTGGTAAGTGATTGGTAAGTGATTGTGATTTTTTACAGATCTTCCAACTTTTGTTGTTGGAGTTGTACCTTAGAATCCCTATGACTTTACCTTTTTCAAGGGCCCATGACCTTCCAGAAGCTGACAACGACCAATTTTTTGTGACCCGCAGTAAGGCCGGGAGGCAGTTCCACTGAACAAGTGGTATTTTTCCTTACTCACAGGGAACATGATATACATAATCATAATATAGAATATATATTGTGTACATATATATATATATATAATGTACTTACAGTATGATATCCCAACTCATGGGGGTTGTTATAGTTATATTGTTATAGTTATAGTTGGAATTTAACTATTCGGCTTTATCCCATATGTACATACAGTATGTTACATACAGATATAATCACATACACATATATATATATATAATATAAGATTCAAACATATTGCACCCCAACTTGACCACCACAAGTAGCTCAAATTTCGACCCACCGCCAGCGTTTCAGGCCTTTTTTGTGCTGGAAATGATCCTGCGCATCGTGGTGGCCACGCCACGACGATTTTTCAAGGGCGACATGTCCAGGGTGCCTTCGGAGGGTCAATGGCCATTTCAGGAAACTAAACTGGTACTTAGTAGCTACCACATATATAAGACCTATGTAAGGCCTATGCAAGGGCTGTGTAAGGGAACAATCCCACTGATATTATGTTGGGTGGTTCATTTTCGTAAATTGTCATATAGTCTTCATGAGGCCTTTTTAAGCACAGGGCGATTTTGATGGCTGCCAGGTTCACAATTTATGTTTTGGGTCGAAAGAAATGCAAATTACATGCTTTACGTCTATAAAATGCACATGCTTTACGTCTATAAAATGCTGTTCCGGGACTCATTTTATAGAGGACTTGCTTGGCCGTCTATAAAATGCCCCTCCAGAGCTACCTATTTTATCATTTTATACAGAGCTTCCCTCCCAGCATCAAAAATGATAGAGAGGTGCAAGATGTTGCAGATGGATGATGCATTTTATAGGAGGGATTCTTTGCAAAATGTTACCGTTATTTATGGACCATGTTGTGAAAGGAAAGTGCATTTTATAGAGGGAAACTGGGGGCAACCTTGATCTTTAGGATGCTTTCAGAGCATATATTGGTTTGTATGGAACGGGCATTTTATAGAGGCTTTACTTTTTTGGTATTCCGTAGGTGGCAGTTTGAAGGATGCACATGGATGCGCACTGATTCTTGCAACTGTAGGGTCTGAGTCGAACACACGCGTGCGCCTTGCAACCTTTATTATATACCGCTGGGCCAGCCATCTAAGAATTTAAGCCAGGCAAATCTTGAAGTCTCTGGGGTGAGGACAAAGAAATTTCAAAGAGATCCTGCTATTTCCGGGAAACGTCTCTATAAAATGCTGTCTCCGACTAAGGGAGATCCGCGGATGGACGGGTAGGGGGCATCTCCAGTCGGAAACAGCATTTCATAGAGACTCATCCGGGCAGATTCATAGAGACTCATCCGGGCAGATCAGCCTGCTATTTCCGGGAAACGTCTCTATAAAATGCTGTCTCCGACTAAGGGAGATCCGCGGATGGACGGGTAGGGGGCATCTCCAGTCGGAAACAGCATTTCATAGAGACTCATCCAGCATTCAGATCAGCCTGCTATTCCCGGGAAACGTCTCTATAAAATGCTGTGACTCTAAGGGAGATCCGCGGATGGCGGGTAGGGGGCATCTCCAGTCGGAGACTCATCCGGCATTTCATAGAGACTCATCCGGGCAGATCAGCCTGCTATTTCCGGGAAACGTCTCTATAAAATGCTGTCTCCGACTAAGGGAGATCCGCGGATGGACGGGTAGGGGGCATCTCCAGTCGGAAACAGCATTTCATAGAGACTCATCCGGGCAGATTCATAGAGACTCATCCGGGGAGTTCAGCCTGCTATTTCCTGGGAAAATCCCTCTATGTCTTACCGGGTATTGCCGGCATATACCGGCCTATACATACTATAGTCACTATAGTCAAACAAGTTGCACGTCGCTGCGCCAATGAATCAAATCAGATGGCTTAGCAACCGCCTGTGGAAAAGGCATTTTATAGACATATATCTTGCCATATTGGAGCAGCGCTTTGAAGACAACACCTAGATTGGAGCAGCATTTTATAGAGGATAACTGGCTTGTTGCCCGATGTCGCGCTGCGTGTCTTTGCACACGTGTCGTCTGCGGAGAAGCATTTCATAGAGATGACGGAGAGGTCATTTCATAGAGAGTTCCCACTTGCTGTCTGGATGTTAGCTGACGGAGGACCATTTTATAACCAACTTTCTCTATAAAATGCTTCGTAAAGCATCCTAGGGAACAAGTAAGGGGTATCAAATGACAATGCGCACGCACGCACACACACACACACATATATATATATACGCATATACAATTATAATATAGTTTCCTTCATGCGGGTCCAGGCGGGTGAATGACATTGGAATAAGCCGTCTGAGGCTGATAGTAACTGCCATGTCAGATGCCAGCCATGTCGAGGTCCCCGAAAAGATCGACCAACAAAACGAATCACAAGAAACTCCTGACATGTGGTGGTCGTTCTTGTTTCGCCAGGATATCTTCAAGCCGCTCGGCATGAGGAGTTGACCCACAGGGGCAGACCTGCTGCATTTTTTTCGACATTACTACATGACCCAGCCTTCAGGATGAAGTTTTGTCAAGCATTGGGGGCGAAGAATTTCACCTATGAGAATCAGTTCATAGCTTTTGCATTATTTGCATCTGTGTTGCCACCGCCCATGTTTGCAGTGAGTTTGCAGGTTAAATTCCCGGCACATACATCATCAAACATCCCCATATCCCGCAGCAGCCTGCGACCACCAGGTTCGACTTTCTGAATTGCATTGACTTCATGTTAGCACCTTGGCCTGCAGGGAATCACCATTACCCATCCCTATATCTATTCAGTTGTCTTGTTAGTCTGTTTTTCCTTTATGCAATGATGAAAAATTTGCAATGATGTTACAATGCTATGCAGAATTGGGCCTCATAAATGCTTCGATTCTTCACCTCGGCGATGGGTCCATTTGGTGCACGTGCCATTGGTGGAAACCTAAAAAGCATAGACACGTATCATTCTTAGGGAAACGTATCTAAATGGCACGTGCACGTTCCTTGGAAGGTTCATTTTCATCCCCAGCAGTGATCATAATCACCAAAACATGCGACCGCAAATTCATGAATAGATCCAATACTACAGAGATTGATTGTCGGAAGCTATTTACTGAAAAACAGATACGGCAATTGAAATGGTTTAATCGCCACAGCCATCACTTAGTAGATACGAACATCCAGTGCTAAAAAAATCACAGTAGCACCTAGGGGGAGGTAGTTTCAAGGCCGCCCTACCGGTGGCACGTTTCAGCGATCTCCCAAGGTGTTTCTGCGCGTGGTCGATTCATGGATGCTCTACCCCTTTGGGGTGGTCTCCAACCTGAAATTTGCCAGCGCTTTCAGGCTGGAAATGACTGGAAACCTTAGATGGCTTAAGTTTCATAACTTTTGATACATTTTATTGTGTCATAAAGGGATATAAAAGGTGCATCTGTATAGACTAGATAGATAGATAGGTAGGTAGGTAGATAGATAGGTAGGTAGGTAGGTAGGTAGGTATACAGATAGATAGACATGCGTATTATACCCACACACACACACACGCACAGGTATGTAAATGAATACTACTACAACTGATAAATGGCTAGAGCAACCACCCGATGGCCCAGCGCAGTTTGGCACGCAGGGTCTTCCAGTTTGGCAGAGCAGTCAGGCAGGGCCCGAGAAAGCGTTCGGCGGCACCATGCGCGCAAAGATATGATATGTTGCTTGATATGGTAAGCTGGTACCCTCCATGACCCTATGTTCATCTAATTTTCGGTTCAATGAGGTAAACTGCAGGTAAACTCAATCAATTACTAGAGGCGTATATAATTCTCATTGAAAAATATTGGGGCCATGGCATACCCCGACTGAAAAGGAAGCCCAGTCCTCAGGCAGGTCCAGCTGCATCCCAACTTTCGAGAGCTTTGGATCGTGATCTCCGCAGTGGGAGACACCATGTGGCTCCTGGGCGATGACGGTGATGGGCATGGCTTAAGATCCACATCCACCATCCCCAAAATATGGGCGGCTCCAAGATGTTCACCGCCCGTGGCTTTCTTCGGGGCTGGAAAAAACTGTAACATTCACCTCAACTCCAGCAGATTCCATAGTTCAAGTGCCGAAAGTGTGTGAAGGTCAGAGGCTTTCCTGAGCTATCTATCATATGTGGGTGGGTCAAAACCTATTGACAATTTGAGTGGGATGAACATCCATAAATCCCAGCTATGACTTGGGGTTCACGGCGCCAGGGTTTTGACCCTTTTCGCCATTCTTGGCGACTTCAGCGCCTCGAGATCCCTTTAAAATCTGAGGACTTTGGTCTGGGTTGGCATCATGCTCGTGGGAGTGATCTATGTCTGCGGCATTCTGCTTCTTGTTTAGTGAAACCATGTGAAACCGGGAGTGATCGTTTCGTTGAGTCGTGAAGAATTAAGGTAACTGGTGGTCGGTTGTTGAGGGTGAAGCCTTTTGGTATTTGAAAAGGAAATTTGGTCGCTGGATGTTGTTTTGGGCTGTTGGTTTGTCCAAGTCCAAATCAGCTTGTCACTGTCATTGCCCGTGATATGACATGAAATGGATAAATTGCGTGGTTTTCAAACGGTTTGCTAAAACTTGTCATATCCAAAAATCAAATCTACAATTCACTGTCCAAACACACTTTCTTGAGTGATTAATTACAGCCGTTGGATTCGAGAATTTTGACCCATTTCTTACTCTTTATGGTTGAATCAGAATCCATATTTCTTCTGGCTCGCCGCCAATTCTCTGAGTTGTCCAGCCGTTGAAGGGTGCCAGCATAATGTGTCAACGCCCAGGGTGTCAATGGCTGTTTTGGACAAGGGCGCAGAGGACGCAGCGGGGAGCCAGTTGGAGCCACGAATTGAGTTCCCAAGCGCCAGAGATAGTTGAACGATGTTGAACGGGATGAGTGGAATTCCAAACCACCAAGCTACACCATCAATGTTTTATTTGCACATGGGTAATTTGCTATCTATGGATGTGGGATTTTATTTGGATGTTTATCTGGACCATAACTGAAATGGTTAATTTGCCAAGGGCCACATCCCAATCCCACATCTTGCCATAGATGCATTGGTCATTTGCACAGACTCTAAAGGACGATCGACGATCAGCCATTCCCAATAAAGCTGCCCATGGCATCAGCAACTTTTGTTCATTTCGTCACCATACCATAGAATGAACTTCCCCATCATCAAAAACATGATCATGTTTCCCTATGTATATATATAATAAAAAGCCTGGTTGGTGGTTTGGAACATTTTTTTTTGGATGTTTTATGACTTTCCAGAAACAGTTGGGAATGTTATCATCCACAATAATCCCAACTGAACTCCATCATTTTTCGGGGGTAGGTCAACCACCAGAAGAAAACGCCGCTGAATCGATCCATCGGGACCGGTCTCAGGACTTCAATCTGAACCGAGCCGAATGGGACTTCAACGAGTCACTTCGAATCGCGACTGGGGAAAGGGGTAGCGGGATATACTGGGGATATACATAGTGACATAGTATTCGTAAGAGAGGATCATGGGGTTGGAATGGGGATCAAAGCTGGATTTGATGATGATGATGATGACGACGACACTGATTATTATTTAACATGATGACATGATTTAGCCATTAATATATTGTGTCTTAACAAACAACAATGGTGGTAAAATGGGGAAAATCATGCGGAGATAATTGTTATGTGCTTGACTCTATCCCAACCATCACGCTGATTTTTTCAGGCCAGGACAGGGGTTTTGGGGATGTCGGCCTAATGGCAACTTGGCTGATGAGACTTGTTTCCAAAACACAAAACACTGAAGCCTGAAGCCTAAAGCCTAAATCTGACATAATCTGGCAAGAAACCCAAAGTAAGCCTTGAAAGTGAAATCTTATTAACAGTGTGGTTATTTTTTAAAAAAATGAAACCCTATGTAAACCCTAAGCAAACCCTAAACAAACCTAAAAGAGCTGGTCCCACGAGAAACCTCTGGGCATCTCTGGGCAGCACCCCCGGCCTGGATTTTACATGCTTTGCAGATGCGACGATATCATATGATTGTATGATATTGCGTGTGCTTTTGCAGGTAGATGAGTGACAGAATGACACACTGGTTTGCCATGCACTGCACTTGACTAATAATTTTCATTGCCTGCATATTGTTGCCGGGCGCGCAAAGAATACATATTGATACATATTGTGCATACCTTTGCGGTCAGGCAACGGTGACATCAGCAGTTGTTGATTAACGGGTCCTCATTTTTCCAGATTTGTGAATGACCACCTTGCTCGGCCGATGGTGCATCCTTGTTCATTTCAAAGATTTCCCAACATTTTTTAACATTTGGCATGTTGATCCCAATCATGCAACTGTGAAAGGGATTACATATCTTGAATTTTACTTTGGGTCCTCGACACAGAAGCCCGGACTTCAAACTTCAAACATCTTCAATTCAAACCTGCTGCAGTGGTAGCATCAACTATAGAAACCCCCCTAAAGAGATAGAAAAGTAATTGCTGATGATGATTTTGTTCAGATTCTATTACTTTGGGGGGTTACAGTACTAGTACTAGCCATACTGTAATATGTTTCATTTTTTGGACCCCGAGTGGAACCATGTTTAAACCATCAACAGTCGTCGACTGATGCCGCGCTGCCGCACGTGTTGAGGTACTGGGGCACTGTCCTCCGCAGTTCCTTCTCCTTGTTTCAGGCACCCGGGGAACCCGGGGAACCCTGGTGGTTTCAACGATATTACCCTCTGGTTATGTCAACAAAATTGTTATTGAAAATGGCCATTCATAGTGGATCTACCCATTAAAGCATGGTGATCTTCCATAGTTATGTTAGTTTACTAGGTGGTGAATTCTAGTAATGTTGATAAAGCAATAATAAACCAACCCATGGCTTACTATTGCTTTAATAGCAGACTAACATTGATCCCCTAACAATGGTGTACATGTATGATGTTACTGCTACAATTGGGATAGAATTGGAAGATCTTTGGATAGATTTGATCACAACCTTCCGTCGCGACGGAAAACTGGAATGATGATTGGGATTGGAGTTTCTTAAATCCCAAAATGGCTTCAAGTTTCAGGTTCGTGAATAAAAACCATAATAATAATAACAATGATAATAATCGCAATCATTATCATCATCAATCCAAAATGTTTGTTCTTTTCCATCTCTTACGAAAAAAATCGATGATCCCCAGGTGGTGACCCGTGACAAGTGGTCGGATGCCTTAGTTTGGCCCCTGGTGGAGTCGAGTCTTGGCGAAAACGGCCGATGTCAGAGAGAGGCATCTTGCGAGACATGGGGGTAATTGTGCATGTACGGTGATATTTTATATGTGTATATTTACACATACGTACACACACACACATATATATATATATTATAATGTATTATGTACATGCACTATCTGCAGCAGCCTAGCCGGCTTTGAAAAAGCTGCAGGGTAAGATTGGCCAATCTGAGACGCTGCCAGAACCAGGACTCGAAAGAGGCCTGTTGTTTGAATGGGGATTTTTACACCATATTACAATCCACAGGAATAACCAATACCCTCTGCTTATTTAACATAGCCATGGTATAGATGGCCCATAGAAATAGATGGTTTTACCTATTAAAAATGGTGATTTTCCATGGCGAACTGTTAAGTAACCAGATGGTAAGTATTTTTTGGGATGGGATGGGGTGCTGCATAGGACCTTGCAATTTCTGTTTCTGAAATCTGGGAGTTCATTCATCCGGGCTTGGCATTACAGGACAAATGCCGGCTGAAAGATTAAAGGAGTCATACATATTTAAATGATTTCAAAGAATGGTTCAACATTCTCAAAATAATTATGTAATCTGGATGCATTTTTGTTTGCATACCACTTGCAACATTCGGAGCAAACCCGAAGTTCCCCGAAGTGCCCGACTTCCGAGGAATCCAGAACTCATGGTGGTCTTTATTGCCTTCTTCACCATTGCCAGTCTTGTCAACGGGACCCAAGAAATTGCGGGGCATAAGTGGCATAAGTGGCATAAGTGTTGAGACTTGAGACATAACAGACATAACAGACATATCATGAAACTCATCAAGGTTCCAAGGCTGGAGATGAGATGAAGTCCTATTTTTGGTAAGTTGGGGAAACTATGACTTCAAATGGGCAAAAATTAGATGAAACATCCTCAGTTGATCTCAGTTCTACATTAGGGATATGTTGAAGCACCTCGGGTCATTCTTTGTGAACGTTAGCCCAAACATCCGTCCAATGTCCAAGTCTTTGCGGGTCCTTGAAGCAGCACCCCAACGTATGGAGGTGCATATCATCACCATGGTTATACGTCATACCGTTATAGCCGTCAATTCATCACCTCTGGCCTGCGCCACAAGTATATAATTAGGTCATATACCCCATGAAATCCCTATTATATCCATCATGAACCATGCCTTAAAATCCCATACTATCACCATAAAATCACCATTCAAAAGCATCATGCCGAGTCATTGATGAATTCCATTGTGGGCGTAGTGGTGGCTCCTTGGCGGAGCTCTGGGACACCAGACACGATGCTCTGGGAGGATTGGGGGGATCGTCCCCTGACCTTTGAATAATGATATTGCTGTTGAGCTATTAATCAACGGCTGGTTGGTGGTTTGGAACATTTTTTATGACATCCATATATTGGGAATAATCATCCCAACTGACTTTCATATTTTTCAGAGGGGTTGAAACCACCAACCAGAAGGTTTGGGGGAATGATTATGAAATTGATGAAAGCAGCTCTTTTACTATGATTAAGAACTCCGAGGCCAGATGTGTGTAGTACATTGATGGACTGTTGAAACAAACTGAGTTGTAATGGAAGTTTCTTCAAGAAAATTGGTGTGAACGGATTGTTATGATGTGTCCCTCCATTTCAGTGGCGACCAGCGTTTACAGTGCAACTGTTTGACTGATTGGTCTAGATGATTATGGCAAAAACGTGAACAAAAAGGCAAGAACTGCTTGGACGCATGGCACGCCAGGAGTGCCTCAAGCATGAGATATGGGGTTTGTCTTAAAATAGTGCGCAACATTCCATCCATTCGTTAATCATCCTTTCCCTATGGCCATAGGCTTGGGGTATACCCATCTTCACGTAGCACACCGAGATCTGACTCCCTGATTTGCTTGTGCGTTTTTAGCGTTAAAAATAATTCAGGGTGCCTCGAAAAAACAGCGATTCTGGTCCTTGATTGCACGGTAAAACATTGATCGATCGATGTTTAAATATGAGGCACTCCCAGGATCATCCAAGTCCTCCCCCAACTGGGTACAGTAATGAGGTAAACCCCAGGGGTCTATGGTTATACACCCCTATCAATGGGATGATGTAAAATGAGACACATGGTTAATGGGATGGTTCCTCATTGGGTTTAGCACATTTCTCTCGCTGTGGCCATCGCAGAAGCAATGTTTCTTGGTCATTCTTCGTCAGTATCTCTCTGCTATTGTTTCTTCAAAAAAGTGCATCAAAATTCCTCCCACCACAACACTTCAGACAAAACCACGGAAACAAAAAAAAACAATGGGTTGGAATTTCACCAAAGCAACTGAGAAAATACATTGTTTCCACTTTCGCAGAAAATCCATGCTAAAACCATATTAAACCACAATTTTTCACGTATGTGTCACATATTTTGACCATTTTGCTGAACTTTTCTTCCAGCGACACCGCTGCCCAGGAAAGCACTTTAGCCTCGGCTCGGGCCAACGCGGATCGAGAGCAGAAGGTGCGTGGAGAGCTTGGCATTGTAAGTAGCTACAGTAAGCCATATAAAACTGGGGTACTTGGTGGCTCATCCCACTTCAGTGGATTTTTCCTGGTAGGTAGATCGACAGACACTGTACATATGTGATCATATGCACACATGCGCAGAGTTTTTCATGTGAGTGAAACATCATGACCTACCATGATATTACCATAAGTGATGGTATGTAATTCTGGGGAGACTTCGAAGGAGCAGCATGTGTCCGCTTGGTGACCGATTCTCCCGCTTGGTGAACTATTACCATTCGGCCCCGTACACAAACAAACATACTTACGCAGGTCTTGAGCATGTACTTACTGCACCTTGTGCTAATTTCACACAGCTATAGGAAATTGCCAATTTATGGGGGATTTAACAATTCAAATTCAAATGGTGACATTTACAATGTCAAAGACTGTTAACTTACCTTGTAAAGCTAGATCATCCCAGATCCTCCAAACTCCCCCAAAAACATGCTAAAAATGGTAAAACTCTATGTAAAACTCCTGAATTTTTGGTAGTTAACCATGGTAAAACACTGAAGGCTTAGAGGGTTTTTTAAGGCTTTGCCGATCCATCCCCTACGTCACGACGTCCCTTGACCTCGGCAGGAACGTGAACGGGTGGACCACATGGTTTCTCGGCGGCCAGGGCGGAGCTCCGCGTAAAGTGGTGGTAGGATGTTAAAAATTATATATATATATTATATCATGTGATATATACAGTGGTAATAAATTATATATGGTGGTTAAAGTGGTATTATTATATTATTATTATTATATATATTAAATCGAGAGTTTGGAACCCTTTAACTCAAAATCCAATCATTCGTATGCTATATATATATGTGTGTGTGTGAATTTTCTACATGCCAACTCAAGATATTGAAGAGATGCAAAAGGATGGTGTTTCAGTGAACATACCTTTTTGGAGGAGACTTATGAGGGTGCAGACGGTGGGTAGCCCATCCCCTTCAGAATTCTGGTCTATGAGAATGCCAACCCTGAATTTCTAAGCCCCTGGGGTATTTGATTGGGGTGTTTCTGATGCGGCAGTGATTCTAGTCTGCTGAAAAAAATGTGGGATGTACTTTCATGGTTCCTTTTGAATCTTCCCCACATCAGTGGGAATTTCAGGACCCTACAGTGGAGGTGTACTGAGTTTACTGTACCTTTTTTTAGGGCACATATTGTGGGCATATTCCTTTGCCACATGATTGATCAACTCCCCTCATGATCTTGCTGTGCCATTGCGTCGAGGGCTAAACCTCGATTTTTTTTGTTAGGTCTAGGCAAATTTGAGCGATGCGTGAATGAAATAAACCGAAGAGATATCCCAATTATAGACTTGGTTGGTGTTGATTGGTTCGAGGCTTGATGAGTTTGGCAATTTTTTTTTGGGTTCCATCCAGCCAATCGACCATTTTTTGCCGTGCAGCATTTGCTTTGCCATGTGTATTCTTGGCACCTATGATGTCCCAGAACCAAATTCACCAATTCTGCAAGGCAGCGCTAGCAAACCCGCTAGGTTTGCGTTATTTTTCCACATCCATGTTCAAGGTTAATTGCTTGTTATTCAACATGAGGAAAAGTTTAGATGTAACACTTAGCGCCTTAAATCTATAAGGATGTCTTAGTGAATTTCTGTTCTACTCGATTTGTTCCTATATTTTTAAGGTTGTCCTTCAATTTTGCGAATTTGTACGTAATTTTACCTCCTAGATCCCCGCTAGCAATGCGCTGGCAAAAGTTGCAACAAGTGGCTTTGGCTGACCCGTGACCCAGTCCCCGCCAGAGAATAGTGTATCCTTTCTGTTTGACAAGGGCAACAGTGACAGCAAAGGCAACGACGAGCCCTGCAGCAGATGAAACATTCTTCCAGTTCCACGGCTATCCACGACTAATAACGAGCAGTGGCACCCACTCCATTTTGACGTGTGTTAGCATTTCTTTCAGGTTTTTGCTATGGTTTCAAACTTGAAAGATAAAATGCAGGGTTTCAGACTATTTAGATAAGTCATAGTTTTAAAGACAACGATTTATCAACTTATCAACCAAACCAAAAGAATACATTTTGACAAACCGTAATCATGTTAAATATTTCCTCAGCTTTTCCTCCACTTAAGCTGAAACTCCCCAAGGGGGTTGCGACTTGTGCCTAGTAAAATCCCGATTCCAATGGAAGGTGCTGGAGTCCATGAAGCAAATCTTTGAAGATGCCGACACCGACAAATCGGGGCGACTGGACCAGGACCAAGGGTGGACGCATGCGGACGCCCCGCACCTCATGGGGGTTGGTGGTATGAACCGACCTGGGTGAATGGTAGTTTCATGTTGTTGTTTTTTTTTTTTGTGGGGGGGGTGGTTATAAGTCATATTATCATATAAGATCATATAAGATCAAATAGGTCATATAAGATCATATATAAGTCTAGTAGAGGCGGTTAGACAGGAGCTTAAGGATCCCCATGCTGGCCTTGACCGCGAAGTTCATTCATGATGTTTTCCCTTGGGTGACTTTGTGGCCACCTTGGATTAATCACCCCCAAGGGACAATCATCCGATCCACAGGAGGAGTTGAAGGCGTCCTTCTGCTACTTGGCTTGGAACTCTTCATCCCATGGATTCCCATGGCTCGTAACTTCATAGATCTTCATGGTCTCAGAATGTCCCAGATACCCATGGGGTACCCCTCCAACTGACATACCCGCGGGACCGCGGGATGCGGCGATTTTCAGGGTCCAGTTGATAGGTATGGTCTATGGGATGATCAAAAACATTGCTGCTCACTCAATCCTGAGTTTTTCTTAGCTGATTTTTGTTGAGGGCAAAATGTCTGGGGAAATTCGCCGAAACTTTAGGGCCAGGATGGGCCAGGTCTGTTGATCTTTTTTGGGGGCGGGGACTCCGCTTACGCCAAATCCGCGCCAAGATCTATGATCCGCTTGAACCCCTTAACTGGATCCATTATATAATCATCCTAATCACCCCTAATATCAAACACCCCCCATGGCATGACCCCAAATAAGTGTAGATCCCCTACTAAACCATGGTTTAAGATTAGGGGGAAGGGATTGGTAAAGACTTAAACGAAGAATTAGACTTAAATCCTATAAGATTGGGGTCGACATGGACCAAGTTCATCGATAGGCCAGCTGTTTGATATTTGATTTCGGTGAGAACCGTCTTTAACGAAACAAAGATCCAAGCAGACCATGCGGATATGATGGTGCGAAGCTGAACTGAACATGTGATATTGATTTCATGTTTCATCACGTACTTTTCCAGAGCTATGTCGCAAGCAACCCCGTCTATCGATGCTAAGAGGGCTCAGAACCAATGGAATGTTTTTTTTTTCCGGAGGGATTTCAGGTGCTGCAAGTTTTTTTTCTCAAGTGTCGATTTGTGGACATACTTTTGCGGAGTATACGCCACAAAAAGCCAGTTGCAGGATCTTGGCAGTTCAGTATTTCCGTCCGGATAGAAGTGGGCAGTTTCTCAGGGCTCAGTGGGGCATCACAAGGACCCCCAATGATAGCTTCCCTTGTAAACGTGGTTGATGGATGTTGTTGGTGATTCAGATTCGCCCTTAATTCACGATTATTATATATTGGGGGGTCAGCTGGCTGGGCGGGGGTCCCAGATTTGTTTTCTTGCAATGCAAATTTGGTAAAGTGATTCCAAATGATCCTAAATCTACAATACCCCTGAACAAACCTGTGGTTGTTAACCAGGAAGAATAAGGAATCCGTGGTTTCCTGGATTTTCCTAGCAGCTGGCTGGGGTCACGGTCTCCCCGACCAATATGCAGGTTCAGCATGCAAGTCAGACATTGCGGTCTTACGCATGCAACACGAAGCCTCAGCACGTGTTCGCAGCAGTCTGTCAGAAGTGATGGCTGACGCCTGGAAATCAAATAGTTGCCGGGCGGCGCAGCGCGGCGCAGTGGAGCGGTAACACCCAGGGTAGATTTCGGCGAAGATAGATGGCGCTAGATGCGCGCATGACCACAGCTGAAACTTTGCTTGCCTTCGGGGACGGTGGTTGGGGGAGCTCGGCTCGAGATGGAGAAAAGTGACAAAAGTTGCCACCATGGGCACCTTCCAGTGATTTCCAGTGATTTCACGATTCCCAGCAAAACTAGCCAACACTTTATTATTTATAGGGGGCTTCGCAGCTTTCCTGAAACGGTTGATTGGGGGTAGTAGTGGCAGTGGTGGCTCTTGCAATTCGAATATATTTGATCGAGGGCCGTCTGACACCAGGGATCATCATGTAGGTGCAAACACTTGAGGTGACGGGCGGGTCCGAGACCGACTTCGTTTGCTGCGGATCCCCTTCAAGGACCGGAAAACCAATTTTTTTGGTGCCCACTGTTTCAAGCAAGGTGCGTGCACGCCATTGCTTCCAAAGGGGTCTTGGCACGTTTTGGGCCCCAGATTTTGCTTGTCAGCGACTTGTCTCTGGAGGATTTGGAAATGCTTTTCGGGATTTTGGATGACGAACAGGCAGGGCAAGTCAACACCAACAAGTTTCTTGGAAGATTTTGCAGCAAACCTGGGGGCAATGATTTGCGTAGATGCCGCCAACATCCGCCAACTGTAGGTGCGAATGTGTTTGCTGCGGACACATGGCCACAAGGCCTGAACACAGAAAATAAAAAATCAAAACACGAAAAATGTAAGTGTTCAACCTAGGCGTGGTTTGCATGTCTTGTTGAGACCACCGCCCCCGCAAAAACGAAGCATGAACTATGAACATGTGAACTCAGTTCAACCAAAACGAAGTACGTAAGGGGTGTTGCCTTTTCTTTCGTGGGATGCATCAGTGTTGCTCGTGTTTGTTGATCAAATGCGCGCCGCCTGTTCCAAACTGGAATGTTACGTGTAATAATTGAACATCAGATGCTGGTTGGCCTTGGTTTCTGTGAATTTCCTCAAACCAAGGTTTTTCCGCGGAGTTCAGCGTCTCAGGGGTCAAGCTGCCGCGTGCCACCTTCAGCAAATGCCCCGATCTCAGAAATGTTCAGGTTGGCATAAGGTTGACGGGGTCATGGAAGATCGAGTCAGTGCATCAAGGGTGAGTCTTTAAAAATCCAACAATCTGCCTTTGCAAAGTACTACATGTGCCGCAGAGATTCACATTTGGCCAACCGAAATAAGTAGACCATTGGTGACCCGCATACTTGGAGAGTCTGAAACCAGGATGTCGTGACTTTGGAGGTTGTGTGCTCATGCGTTCTCTGTCTTAATGGTCAATACATACATACACAATACCAAAAAATATAAAAATATATAAAAATAATATAAACTAATGCATTACTTGGGGGATAGACTCGGATGAACATCCATGAATCCCAATTATTTTGATGTTCGCCAAAGGTATGGGGCTTCGATCCCTGGCCACATCAACACCTTATGTGTCAAACACGTGGTTACTTGACCATGTCCTGCGTTGATTGTTGGTACAATGATCGGTGATTGCACCTGCTATTCATGCATGACTGCCGACAGCCATGTCCCCCATGGGTTGTTGTTGCAAACACGGCAGCAGAGTGACGCGCATAGATAGGCAGATCGGCAGATTAGACAAAAACAATCCCACCCCCCAATGTAACAAAAAACAGATGACCCCGTGGTTTAGTCTTGGATCAGCGCATCTATATATTCATTTTTTTTGGGATCCAATATGGGGTGTAAGTATTCAATACTAAGGGGAAGGGATTACATGGAAAGTTTCTGATAGCAATGGTCCGGCAAATGTCGTTTCGTTAATCCGTAACGCATCCCCAGGAACGTGGATTTGGGACGGCGGCTCGTGTGGTGCGATCAACATCAACAGGAGGCACTGGTGCTTCCATGGGTTTCCTGCATTCCCCCCTTACCAGATACACATGGATGATCATGAAGGTATGAAGTGACGCACATACGGGGGTCTTGGAAGAAAATCAATGTCCCTGGCAAGGTCTCGCGAATCCCATCAGATTGATCTGACACATAAATAAATAAATATATATATATACAATGTGTGTGATCATATTTCTTCAAGTATATATATATATAATTTATAATCTGTGTGTGTGCGCATTGGTTAATGGATTGTGTATTGCGGTTACCAAACACTGTAAATGCCAGGGTGGTGATCTCTTCAAGAAACCATCAGGCTTGTGATATTTTAGGGCGTTATATTTTGATATATATGTTGATCTATGCTTTGTTGGTAACGGCTTGAAACCCTACCAGCCCTAGAAGTGGGCGTTGATCCGGGCTCCGCCCCCAGTACTTGGAACTGATTGGCGTCAAAAACTGTTGTTTTGCCACAGTTGCGTATAAACACGGTATATATATATATATATATACACTATATAAATATATACTATATATATATAATATATATATATTGGCTGCTTGATTTTGCAAAAGAACAACCTTGGCATTTGCTTTCAGTAATGCACCAGGACGAGACGAAAGTGTAACTTTCAACCGCAGCCGAAGCTCGAAATCCCCTCGACGCTTCCAACGTTTCTATCCATGTCGATGTCCATGTGGCGGCTCTTCGCCATCCTACCGCTGGTCGCCTGGGCCGACCAGTCGTGTTCCGAAAGTTCCTCGGAGGAACTCCGCGAAGACACGCAGTTCTTACAGCGATCTCTGCAGTTGCAGCAGGTGCCATGGGGCCATGTGAAAGTCTTGGTTCCTGAGAAAGGGGAGGGGTGTTTTTGTTTGGGATTTACATTGTTTTTACCACATGATTTGGGTGAAGTTATATACATTTTACACTACCTAGTTACTGGTAAAAGACAAACTATTCAACCTCCAGAGACTAGGCTTCCACACTGCTGAGATTGGTCCAATATGTGTTGATCGGCCACCAGCAACCTCCATAGTATGGCATTATTAGATCAAATCTAATTATTTAAATCTATTTCAACAGGGATCTTATTAAGCACAATTTATCTCCGAAAACATCTGTTGTTTCGGGCTTCACCACATCATGGTTATGCTCACCTGTCCAGCTTGGATACTTCGGCTTGGTGGAGTCCAGACAGACTTCCTCACCAACACGTCCTTCTCGAAGGTTCCCGAAAAAATGAGATTATGATACTCCTTTAAGATTTATATGAATTTATATGTAATTATAGATTTGTAATTAATTATGCATCATCAATATTATAAGGGGTTGGAAAAAATCGATCAACATCTATCTTTCATAGATCTTCTTGGCCTTTATTCATATCCATTGTCCCATTAAGGGGGCACAGTCGGAGCTGCAGGAGACCAACATCGCCACAGATGCCTTGGCGCGCGCCAAGGGCACGGCGACGGTCTTGAAGACCAAACGGGAAGGAGCCGCAGCCGGGGATCCTTGGGACCTGGTGGACCTGGTGGACCTGGTCACCGGATGTCACCGGGCGAAGATTTGAATGATGGATTTGACATAACTAAGTCCAGTCAAATGATTTTTTGGATGCCAAAACATTTGACATATGCCAAAAGAATGCAGATGGGAAGTTCTTGTGCATTCTTTCTTCGGATGGTATCCTGGAAGGGTTCCTGCTGCGACTCGCGCTGACGGTTGGCAAGTTTTTCAAGAAACTTTGAGACCAGCAACAAGACACTATTTTTGCAAACAACCAATTTCTGATAATTTATGCGAGTTTATGAACTTCAAGGTTCACGGCCATACAATTCACCAAGGTTTCTCGACGAGGTTTCTCAAAGTCCGTTGTTCATTTTCAGGCTCTCAGGATCTGGCCATGTGGTGATGCCTGTGGAACCTGGTAGAAATTGATCAACCACATGGGTTGGTTGATTTTTCACCAATGACTCGGAGGGAGCTAAGCAACTAGGATTATTCACACATATTAAATAGGGACCCAGGGAGTTACAAATAGAGTTTCCCAACCATTCCAACCATCTCCATCATACTTTTGAATTTCAGCTGTTTCGGTCACCACACGACTTGCCACATCTCCAAGATTCCCCTGCGATCGTTGTCCAGGAGAAGTCCAGACTTATTTTTACTACGTGAATTTCCATGGAGTTGATCCCATCTTGGTGCCTCGGCTCGCCCCAGGGGTCGCCCAAGGGAGATATGGATCAACTGTGGCTGTGGGAATGTTTTCTGTTTAGCGAAGTTAGACTCATGTTTTTAATCCCTACCCCCTATTAATAAACGGGCCCCCCCCCCCCCCCCCCCCCCTAATAATAAAATTCGAAATTTTGGGAACGCATTCTTTTTATTAGGGGGGTGTTTCAGAGTGGCGCTATCTGTTGTAATAAATTATGTTGCCTGATGACTGATTCTCTTTGAATTTGCAGGAGTTCTTATGATGAAGCTACCAAGATACCATATTATGTTTGGCCATGTTTGCCTCGCATTGGCATGATCTACGACTGCTTCGATTACTACCACGCTTGCTTCGACCATCACTACCCTCGCCATAGCAGCACAACGAATTATATATTTTTTCTCTCGTTCGACGACAATGGCTACTACTCTTACAAAATCCTTACATGCCCCCAAACCTTCACATGCAAAGCCTGAAAGACTCTGACGATGATCACAACTGAAACTGTGATTTCACCACTGACACAATGCTGATTACACGACTACCATCCTCGTGACGATGATCACAACTGCCATGACGCCCCTTCGATGCAGCATTCTTCCCCTTCAAACCAATTTTGTCGTTTGTATTATCGGCCAAGGGACAAAGGCTAGTGTGGAAGGGGGGCAAAGAAGCCAGGAGTAAAGGAATGAAAGAAAATCCAGTAGCAGCACACGGACTTTTTCTTAAGGCATCAAAGCAAACCGGTGCGCCCCCCTCCCTTTGTCTCATTCGAATAATTAGTGCATTTTCAGACTTGTTTCAGACTGTTTCAGAGTGTTTTTTTAAAGGACTTCAACCTCAAGAAACTGACTTCTTCTACTACGACCACTACTTCTTCTTCTACTAGTACTACTAGTACTACTAGTACTACTAGTACTACTAGTACTACTAGTACTACTAGTATTACTACTACTACTACTACTAGTACTACTACGACCACCACTGCCACTACTAGTACTACTACTCCTAGTACGACAACTAGTACTACTTCTTCTACTACTACTTCTTCTTCCACTCGTACTACTAGTACGGATACTATTACTAGTGATACTTACGATGCTACGACCACGACGTTTACTACTGAGGCATTGGGTGTAAATGACTACCCGCCTTGACGATGATCAGAACTGAATCTGATTCCACCACTGACGCAAGGCTGATTACACCACTACTACCTTCGTGACGATGATCACAACTGCCACGACGCCCCTTCGATGCAGCATGCTTCCCCTTCAAACCAATTTTTTTTCGTTTGGATTCTTTCGGCCAAGGGACAAAGGAACATGTGGAATGGGGGGCAAAGAAGCCAGGAGTAAAGGAATGAAAGAAAGCCCAGTAGCAGCACATGGACTTTTTCTTAAGGCATCAAAGCAAACCGGTCGGCCCCCCCCCCGACCTTGTCTCATTCGAATAATTAGTGCATTTTCAGACTTGTTTCAGACTGTTTCAGACTGTTTATTTAAGGGACTTCAACCTCAAGAAACTAACTTCTTCTACTACGACCACTACTTCTTCTTCTACTAGTACTACTAGTACTACTAATTACTACTACTACTACTACTACTACTACTACTACTACTAGTACTACTACTAGTACTACTACTACTACTACTATTACTACTACGATTACTACTACTACTACTACTACTACTACTACTACTACTACTACTACATCTACTACTACTACTACTACTACGACGACTACGACTACGACTACGACTACCACTACTAGTACTAGTACTAGCGTTATTTGCATGTGAAAGACAGTTGCACCGACAGTCACAAGCACGATTTCATTGACACACACTGTGAGGAAAATCGAAAATCCAACCTGTCGGAATATACCTCAACAACCTGAGAAGAAAAGCTTATTCAACAGTTCAAGCAGGTACCAGTGGTTGATCAGACCACTCATCCACCGAAATGCCATAGCTTCGTAGTAACAATTCTACCAGTAGTAGTCGTAGTAGTAGTAGTAGTAGTAGTGGTTGTAGTAGTAGTAGTAGTAGCAGTAGCACGAGCAGTCGCAGCAGCACTAGCAGTAGCAGTAGCAGTAGCAGTAGCGAAAGGAGTGGTAGTAGGTGTAGTAGCAGTCGTAGTGGCAGTAGCAGTAATGTTTTTTGACCCCTTGAGGGCATTGCGGGCCCGCTTATTCAACAGTTCAAGCGGGTACTGCCATAGCTTCGTTGGACTGGATAGGCAAATTGGCTCCAGTAGCCCTGCTTTAGATGAAAATGGAACCATTTGTGATAACGGTGTGCACACACACACACGGATGGAGTCCTCGAAAAGTTCGATTGCTGCTAGGATGCCCCCTAATAAGCTCGACGAGGCGTGTTAATTTATTCTCGGCTCATGTAGTATTGGTTTTCAATAGGCGGAATGGAAAAACAATAAAAAAAAAATGGTCCCGAGCGCCGGCATTCTTTTTATTAGGGGGACCTTTATTAATAGGGGGTCGAGATTATTCTATGTGCCGTATTCAAGCCATTTCAAGTCAATCATATTTAGCAAATGAAGGTTGTTAGTGTCTTTTGTTCGGCAATGTTGAACCTGAATTACCCGAAATCAAGATACTCCTCGAGAGCAGAAGTTCCAAACATGCTCAAACTTGTGGCCTTTCGCCTCTGACATGTTGCAGGACTTCAAGGGTCCGAAAGATTGGAGGATTCAACGCTCGTTACATCAGCAATGCTGATATCGAGGTTTCCTTTTTTGTGGGGGTATCCCCAAACATTTTCATTTTCAAATGCTGACAATTGAGAATCCCAATCTAAAATGGAGGATTTGGGTCTACCCCATATCCCATTATAATCCTTTTTAAGAGGATTGTCCATTATAACTCATCCAGCTATCGGGGTACCCCAGCCATATCCATGGGATCATCATCGCACTGAGCCACAGCGTCAGTGCCGGCAGCATAGGGTGATTTCCATACCTGGGATGACTGCTGAATGATACATAATTTAGAAATATACATTATCAATTATAATAACTATATATATACATATATTATATACATAATTTATTATATATATATTATGTTCATAATTTATTATTTATATATATTATATTCATAATTTATTATTATATATATATATTATATACATAATTTATTATATATATATTATATTCATAATTTATTATATATATACTTATATACATATAGATATGTATACTTTTAGATATGTGTGTGTGTGTTTCTTGGGGGGTGCGGCCGTGTGTGTGAGGCTAGGATAGCATAGAATAATAGTAGATGTGGGGTACACCCATGACCACGGAATGTCGTACCAGTTATGTTTCTTTGTATGTTTTCACATCTAACTAGTTGGGATATAATCAAACTACATCATCCATATCCTGGTTAGCCTAGTGAACTAAACCAACCTAGCCAAGCATGGGGCACCATCTTGTAGGAAAGTAGAAATGGCATGTTCAATGGAGGAAACCATGTTTAAAGCTCATAAGAGCACCATTGAAATACACCCATTGAATGACAATTTAATTAAAGGTGGATGGCAATAAGAAACTTGAATTTGGATGTGCATCCCAGTTACTAAGTGGGCAACAAGTGAGCAAGAAGCATACAAAACACCCAGCTGTACGCGGCTACCGGAATATATATAATGTATGGCTTATTCATGGCTAACATGAATTAAGCAAACCATAGACTCTGACAATCTTAAGATTTCCATTTTTTTGTTGAAAAAATGATCCATAGACTCCGACAGATTTCCACGGGATTTCCGTCCGCGGTGCTCAAGGCAACGCTGCTGAACGTCATGCACAGTTCCGGGCAAAACTGTGCCACCTGTGGTCTCCATCTCTTCAGCTGTGAGGAGGGTCCAAGATGAGCGATGTCATGCCTCTAGTAATCTAACATAGCTACATGGAAAATCGCCATTTTTTACAGGTAAATCAACTATAAATCACCCATTTTCCATAGCTATGTCATGCATTACCCTCTGGTAAACTAACAGTTTGCTATTGAAAATGGCCATTTAGTTCGTTGATTTACCCGTTGAACATCGTTATTTAGTTATATTATATATATATAGTTTACCAGAGGCTAATGACGTCTTTCGGAAATCCTTTCATGTGGGTAAAACAATGCCGTAAACCAGCCACCCATGTCGAATGGTAACCAGACCGCACAAATGGTGATTTGGGGCATGGTTTATTATTGCTTTCCCCACATCATAGAGAGTTTGGATTCATGAGAAACAGTAATTATAGTGCTTTTAGTCACAGAAGTTGTCATTAAACCTGTAAGCATGGCTCGACAATCTCGATGTTGATGGTTTTCAATCTCCCTCGCCTGGACACAATTCATGTTCACAACGGTCATTACCCTCCGGTAAACTAACAAAAAACGACGGAAAATCACTATTTTTAATGGGTAAATCAACTATAAAAGGGTCATTTTCAATAGCTATGTTAGTTTACCAGAGGGTATACTCTTTGGAAGTTTCAAAAGATTCAAAAGGCCATACCTAGATCCACCTTGTGGCTGAAATAAGTGCCCTTTTTACAATTGTGGCTGAAATTTTGGCCGTCACCTCTGGAAACGAAAAAAAATGCACGCCGTGGCTCAACAAAAATGCCGTCAACCAGATCGAGAGTGAACCATGATTTTACAATCTATGTGTTGAATGCCTTTTATTTGAACGGTTGATATGTTTGTGGGCCCAGAACTTCAGTGGCCACCATTTCATAGCCAGTGATGACCATGATACATGGGAGAGTAAAACGTGTTCATCCCAAACCTTAAGCCAAGACCCATCAAAAGTTTGATTTCAAGACGTTCAAAACTACGAGGATTTACGCCGTAATTACACCAATTTACGCCGCAATTATGCCAATTTACGCCGTAACTTGGGAATGTGGTTTTTGGCATTTGTTTATTCCCCACCTGCCAGGTGAGGGTTGTTAGATTTTATGTCAGTTGCCTCTTCCTGCCTCGTCCTCCTCCTCCTCCTCCTCCTCCTCTCCTCCTCTCCTCCTCGTCCTCCTCGTCCTCCTTGTCATCCTTGTCGTCCTTGTCGTCCTCGTCGTCCTCGTCGTCCTCGTCGTCCTCGTCCAACTGCGACCCGCGATCCACAGTGTTCTCTGCCGGACCTCAACCACGACCATCCACGCCCAGTGTTCTCTGCCGGACCTCAACCACGACCAGCCACGCCCAGTGTTCCCTGCCGGACCTCAACCACGACCATCCACGCCCAGTGTTCCCTGCCGGACCTCAACCGCGAGAATCCACGCCAAGTGTTCCCTGCCGGACCTCATGTAGGAAGATATGGGACAAAGAATGTGCAGAAGAAAGTTAGAAAGAATGTCAGAAAGAATGTCAGAAGATATGCCAGAAGATATGCCAGATAGAATGCAAAATAGAATGCCAGATAGAATGCCAGATAGAATGCCAGAAGATATGTCAGAATATATGCCAGAAGATATGCCAGATAGAATGCCAGATAGAATGCCAGAAGATATATCAGATAGAATGCCAGAAGATATGCCAGATAGAATGCCAGAAGATTTGCCAGGTAGAATGCCAGAAAATATGCCAGAAGATATGCCAGATAGATATGCCAGAAGATATGCCAGAAGATATGCCAGAAGATATGTCAGAATATATGCCAGAAGATATGTCAGATAGAATGCCAGAAGATATGTCAGAATATATGCCGGAAGATATGCCAGATAGAATGCCAGATTGAATGCCAGATAAAATGTCAGATAGAGTGCCAGAAGATATGCCAGATAGAATGCCAGAAGATTTGCCAGATAGAATGCCAGAAGATATGCCAGAAGATATGCCAGATCATATGCCAGAAGATATGCCAGATAGAATGCCAAATAGAATGTCAGAAGATATGTCAGATAGAATGCCAGAAGATTTGCCAGTAAGAAAATGTATAAATGTCATGGTGGGGATCACACGAAGTAAAGTATTTTTTTTAAAGTAAGTACTTTTTGATACTTTTTGGATTCTTAACGTCAAGCATCATGGACTGCTAACAACCGTTTTGCAACAGCAGGCTGTCACCGGTTTGGCCAAACCACTTTCATTGACTTGAATTACGCATGACCAAAATGATGGACGTGAAGAAATGAACCAAAATCTTTGGCCAATGTGATGTCAGACCGCAACTAATGCATTCCAAGTTGAATTCCAAAAATGCCGTTGGAACAACAGAGAAATGCCGGAGCCAAACAAGTCAAACAAATTACGCCGTAGTATTCCGTCTTCGAGGTTCTAGGTATGGGAAGAAGAACACATGAGGGACATTTTAAAAATCAAGAAGGTTGCACTCAAGGAATCTTAAGGGTGCATCAATCGGTGATTGATCTCATGTGGAGATGCACATGCTGCCCGAAGCGCAGGACCTTATCAGCGCAGAATCTGTTTTATGTTGGGCGAAATATGGTGTCCTGACTTGCCGAACTGTAAATGATGGGAACAAATCTTAAGATATAAGGTCATAATTATGCAAACCAACATGATATCATCTATATGTATATGCATACATGCAAAAACACGCGCGCACACAGATATGTATATATATATATACACGTATGTATTATATATATATAGTCTACGCCCCAGGTAAGGACAATCCATGACTGTGACCTTTTAGATGTTATTTCTACCACAAACACCTTTGACCTCAAAACTTCCAGCTTTCTACAGCCCAGCCGCTAACATTTCCCGCAGGAGGAAGGATTGAATGAGACTGAATGTCAGTCCCGCGAGCTGGCACCTTGACAATCAACTCCTTGGGCCATGCATGGCCCTTGGGCCCAGGAATCTCCGAAATGTTTAGCCATGACAGCTGTGAACATCCTGCGGCCTGATTTTTGGAGCTTATTGAACCCCGAACTAATTCTTGGCTCGGTTTTTCAAGGGCACCCTTCCTATAGATTGTCATGGTTCTTTTGGGATCAATTCATCCTGCGGTTCTCATATCTGTTATGAGTTATGACACAACCATGGTATATGACCCAACCAATTGTATATCATTGTATCTGAATAATAAGCGGATTTGCATCCATTTATGTTCGGGGATCACCCCTGAACTTAGCACACTACTTAGCACATTGTGACTCAGCAGCAATCATCATCCCAGGACTTTCTTCAGGACCGTGGACCATGTATCATTCAGAGGACTTCCTGCATGTTTACCTTCAAAGCAATTCAGGGACTGAGCCGTTGATCGGGACAATCATCCAAAAAAAACCCAAAAAACATCCAAGGACCCTTTGGCAATACCTGTCATTGGACCTTCCCTTCCCCCATCTGATTTCCTGCATGTTTACCTTCAAAGCAATTCAGGGACTGAGCCGTTGATCGGGACAATCATCCAAAAAAAACCCAAAAAACATCCAAGGACCCTTTGGCAATACCTGTCATTGGACCTTCCCTTCCCCCATACTCATAGTTACTTGATCTAGCGCTGTACTTAACACAGCGCCTATCCCGCTGTCATTGCAGCACCACCAGTTAAAACCAGATTTTGTTGATGGATTCAACGGTTTACAGCCACATCATAGTTTTCTGTACTAGTTGAATCCCAAGTTTTGTTAATTCCGTGTTGAATTCAACCTTTGCTAGGTCAATTTTTGACTCCTTTTTTGTTGGCTAAATCACATTAAATCCGCCATACTAATCCCAATTGTTCCTGGATGGTCAACCCCCCTTGGTTGGTAATTTACCTTCAGAATCCAAACAAAATCAGCGAGTGTGTTTCACCCGATTGTAGAATCCGGCTCCAACTGGCGTCGTGCCCACCCAGATGCCCTGCTTGAAGATGCCATGGAGCTGCACCAAAGACAGCGGCTTATTGGTCATGGAGGCTGCCATCCAAGGTGCCGCCAGGAAATGGATAAATTCGCCGGTAAAACCAAGGAATTTTGTCATGACTTAAACAACTTGAAAGTGTGAGCCTAAACATTTTTTTTGTCATGAAATTTGAAGGTTCCCCTAAAATTTGTTTGGTTTTTAATTGATTAATAGGTTGCAGTCTGGTAGTCTGGTTTGGTTGCAGGAGGCTTCAGGAACTACTGGAGCGTGGGCTGTCTACACAAGAATGCCTAAAGATTATAATAATATAGCAATGTTGCATAGCTCAAAAATTGGAGGAATAATGTTGGCAAAACAATAATAAACCATCCGCAATTTCAACATAAATAGGTTGTATAAACCATTCCCAAATGGGTGGGTGGTTTATTATTGCTTTTACCACGTTACATTATTTTGGATGGACCTGTTTATGTATTTATTTTCAGGTTGTACAAGCATTCACTGCAAACGGGCACGTGGTTCTTGGAGAATGTGCGCAGACGTAACCTTTTGCAATTATGATATTAATATATTTTTGCATAACATGTACCAAAAAAACATGTGTCAAGGGCGGGATATCTACATTTGGGGGTTTTCTGAAATGGGGGGTACCTCCAAATCATCCATTTTAGATTGGGACTTTCCGTGAAATAAACCATCCATTTTGGTGATTCCCTATTCGCATCAGTTCGGGTATGGGAAAATGAATCCACAGGGATTGTCTGAAAAGACCAGTTTTTCAGGAATCCCATTCACGATGGTGGGACAACCATAAACTGCGCCCCTCCAGTGATAAGCTAGTTTATAACCCTTATTAACTATATATACAGAGAGAGAGAGAGAAAAATAAACCATATAGTTACCATAGTTGTTGGCGTCATGTTCACCAAGTTAACTATGGGGCACACCATGTAAGTTATAAACCAACTTTTAAACTATGGGGGGCACCGCCATGTGAGTTATAAACCGACTTAACTACTTTGCACGTGACATTGGAGCTATAAACCAACTTAAGTATGGAGTTACATGTCGCTTGACCATGACACCTCTATGCTTCGCGTTGCGTCGCGCACGCATACAGCGCACGCTGTGGCACAGGGAAGAACTTCACAGATCGCGTGAATTCTTCGGATCTGAGCAGCCTGAAGATCCATGGCACAGGTCGAGCGGGTGTAAGCCAACCTGTTTAGATGTTGAATAGTGAAAGAATATGAACTAATGCAACACAAAAAATAGAAAAATCGAGATGGAACTAATGTCAATTATAGATACTGAAATGTTAAAACAACCCATGGTATCACATAGAATTTCATATGAAAAATCGTCAGACAGACGGTGGTGCAGGATGCTGCAGGATTTCCATCCACAGCTTTTACGGAGGTCGACCGGACCACTGAGGGAACATCCCCCGAATGGAAGTATAGAATGATATTAACGGATGTTAATGGTTTATATATTAATATATATATTAGATTAATGAATGTTAATGATATGTAATATATTAAAGATTATGGAATGGATGTTAATATTAATGAATATTAGTGGTTTATATAGCAACCAACCATATGACATAATCAACTATGGTGGCATATTGATAATGATGGATATGATGTGAATGTATAATCCCAGCCCCCATTCATATTCGTTACACCCCCGTTCTATGGTCTGAATGATGTGGACATTCACTACGATTTGCCATGGTTTTAGGGGATGTTTAATTCAGATTAATTAATTATTCTAGGAAGAAGGCCAATTCTTGGCAGGCATCAGAGAATCGCAGATTCATGGTTTGCGTGTTGGCGTATCACAGCTCACTCTTGTTCATATTTACACTTAGCAATGTGTTGTTCAGCTAGTATGTTTGATAAGTTTTGATTTTGATGATGCGACTTTTCTTCTTTTTGTTCAAGTTGTTTAAACATAGGCACCCCGAGACTTCCAGTGGCCTATGACGTCATGTTCGCCCAAAAAATCGTGTTGAAAGGGGCCAAGTGCTCAGGAACCTATGGCCAGATCGGATGCGTTATGAGACGCTGATGAGTTCAGTGACTCAGCCGACACAAAAACCATGTAGCCTATGTATAGCCTATGTATAGCCCGTTGGCCTCACTGGGGGTATGCTATATATATATATCTGGTTGGTGGTTTGGAAAATTTTCTTTTTCTCCATATATTGGGAAGAATCATCCCGACTGACTTTTATATTGTTCAGAGGGGTAGGTATACCACCAACCAGAATACCTGGTTGTTCATTTAATTTCATTTACTGACTGGGATGCACCCTGAAGTGGGATGTTTGTTTCAGCCCCCAAGGGATACCAAGGGTCGTGGTTCAGCGCCTTGCGGTTTCTGCACAGCCAGGCTGAGAGTTTGAAACCCCAGGGGCACTTTAAGAGATGATAGGGATTGATAGGGCATCTAATTTTAAACATATATATATATATATATTATTGGGATTGAAATAATGAAACTTGGATCAAAAGAATCATTCTTCAGGCCAGGGAGCCTGAAGTTTTTTGCTTTTGATGGAGATCTGTACTGTACCCTGATTTCACACTTTGCTATGATACATAGATGGGCCATTTTGTTCGATGATTTACCCCAAACAAAATGGAGATTTTCCATAGGATCAACCATCTCAGGAAACTGATTTCATGGCACTTATTGAATGAGCAACAGGATGATTCAGCAGTGGGTTTCATTGGATTTCCAAGTGTTTGATGGCTCAAATCCAAGCAGACCATATTGTATCATATTGTTGGTAATTACCCATGATATCCTCATTATATGTCGATATTTGATGGTTAACATCCCCTTGTTTTTCCATGCGTTCGCCACTGGAGGCCATGACATTTCAGTGGTTGCCTTTGTTGTGGGGCCCTGGGAAGCGGGTGCTCATCACCACCATTCTGCGCGATCCAGTGGAGAGGCTGAGGCCAGACATGGTCATCATTTTGGGCTCATCATGGATTATGAACATATTTCCCTGGTGCATCTTGTGTATAAATACATATGAATAATGGAGAGAGAGCTATTATGTGCATATTATGTGTGTATTATGTGTATATATATATACATACATTTTTTAATTCTGTGCATATAAGTTTGTCAAGATCATTTGAATGTAATGCAAGAAACAAGCTATGAACCGTTCTATGCCACCCTGAATGGGCCTTTTTTTTCACTTTACATTTGTCAGGACATCTTGAGGAGATGGGGCTGAATCCACTGACGCATCACCCAACGGGTATGTGATCTCCAACAGGTACTTGAACAGTCTATTATCTATTGGGTATATGATCTCCAACTATTGGGTATATGACAAGAAAGTGATGTTTAAAAACCTCCAAAGAGCACATTTAGAAAAAAAAACTGCTTTACAGGACTTTACCAAGAATCCAGGTTGGATCGATGTTGGCAACATGTAAAAATCCCACATGTTCCGCATCGATTTCTGAGAGATTGGTGGTTAAATGCTGAAGAAATTGGATGGTAAGATTTTGGATTAATTCTGTGGGTCCATTGGCAACTTGTAAATGTTCCCATCAACCGATCCATTATGAATAGACAATAGCTGCTTGGTGTTTTCAATACATTTTGGACATGTTCAACTATATTTCGAGGGGTTATCCTCAGTTCTCAATTGGCTCACATTTTCCAAATAGGTAAACAACATTAAACAATAGTTAAGAACATACATATACATACACACACATATATGTATATATATATACACATATAAAGCCGCAAAAACATTCTACACATAGGTTATATATATTTAAAAAACAAGAAGCACATATTAAAAAACCCATCACCCTAAAATTAAATACCCCAATTTCATGGTCCCAATTAAGTGGAAATTCCCTACTAAACCGTGGTTTCGTTTAGGGGGTCTTTAATATTGGAAGGGATTAGACCCAACAAAAATATGTAAGAAACCACCAAGCAGCTGGTGGTCCAACCACCGCAGGTCGGTGTTCTACAGCCTGAGCCCAGATCACTCGCCCGAGAACTTCACGGAGAGGGGGTGCCGTGAGTCAACTTGGGTCCAGAGGATTAGAGGATTCCAGCCAAAGAATAATTGTAAAATAGTAAAATTTTTAGATTATATCGTGGTTAGATTAGGATTAGAGATGATGAATGATGATTAGATATTTGTTTTCCCGCCTAACTAAAATCATCATTTTTGCAGCCGAAAACTGACTGATGATTGCCATTTGTTTGAGAAGATCATTTGCAAAAGCTACTGAAGGGTGCTGTTTCAGATTGTAGATTTCATACTAAAACCAGGTGGGAACAATTTTGATGCTCACAGCCCAACGGTGCAGAGTGATGGAGCCATCATTGCTAGTTAAGTCCATTTAGAAGCTAGGAAACTGTATCAAAGTCTTCATCAAAAAGGGTAAACAAAACACTCAAATGTAGTTGTCATTCTTCTCGAGTGCACCCATTTTTCAATGCCTTGAAGTGGGCCAGGACTTCCTGATTGCCGAACGTGACACAGCCTATGGCAACATGACAGAGCCTCAAATGGCCAGAATCCAGGCCGAAGGCATCCCCTGGCGTAAGGCGGGAGGAACTCCACGGTGAGGAACCTGGTGATTGGAACCTGGTGCTTCATCGGCCCTTGTGCTGGTTAGCCAGCATGGGAACATGGAACAGCACAGCATTCATGATAGGAACATGTTCAGCCCCTGAAACTTCGGAAGCACCGAAAGCATCCAAAACCTTTCCCAACAGTCGCAGATAAAGAGAGATCAAACATGATCAAAACAATTGATGTCTTGGAAATGATGTGGAATGGTATGGTCCATCGGTCCATGGTGGTCTTTAGGTCCTCCTGGTTCCGCTGCCCTCTCTGAAGCGCTCCAGGTGATCCAGGGCTGTTGCGAATATGGCCATTACCTAGGACGCTGAGCTGAGTCCCAGTGAAGCTGACCCAAAATTCGGGATTGAACCATCATAGAATGGGGATGAATGGGGATAGAAATGATGAACAAATGGGCTACGTTTAATATGACCTGGGCAAATTATAGCAACCTCTGTTCTCCTGAGCCCTGGAATCATGGTTAATAAGGACAACCATCTCAGAATGGCCTTATGTCAGGTTAGTGAACTACTATAATTTGCCCAGATATGTTTTAGCAAGCAAACGATTGACTTTTTAGTGAACTTATGTGAGTTAGTGATCGCTTTCTTATGATGGTGTAATGGGATGTTTTGGATAACAAGAAGCAAGACTCATACAGAAGATAATTGTTTTCCCCAATGGCGGCAGTGGGGTCAACGACAAGTTTAATCCAATGAAATGGTTTCTTTAACAAATAGGACAAGTCGGTCAAGCAACAACTGGTTGGTGGTTTGGAACCATGGAATTTTCTGACGGTTAATCATAAATATATGGTTAACATATGGACATATATGGTTAATATTTGGAAATTTATGACTTTCCATATGTTGGGAATGTCATCATCCCCAACTGACGAACTCCATCATTTTTCAGAGGGGTAGGTATACCACCAACCAGACAAACTTGGCAAGCCTTTTTCAGACAAAGCCGTGTCCATCAAGATCCTTTTTCCTCAGCTTTGTCAGTCATCAACATCAAACAACGTTTTGGGACTGGTTCTTCCATCTTTTTTTTTGTCCGTTTGAATTTTGGGCAGATTGTAACCACTACACCGGCCGTTTTGGGAAACCATCCCAAAATGGGCCCACAGATGTTTGATTTGGGATTCTAGTTAAGCTCCGGTAATTTAACATAGCTATTGGACATGGTCCATGTATAGTGGATTTACCCATTGAAAATTGTTATTTCCCATAGTTGTGTTAGTTTACCAGAGGGTAAGCTCCCGTAATCAAACCTCATTTAGTTCGCTGACTTTCCCAGATACAAAGCTCCATTTTAGCTCGGGGAGTTCCCAGGCCATGTGTGATGACATCCAGTTATTGAGGGAGTTATCAAGCAAGGGCTACCCACTGCTGACATCGTTATAATATTGGTTTCACATGGTTTTAATTACTGTAATTATGTGTTGTTCCAAGTTGTTTTTCTTTGTTCTCAAGTTTTGACATAACGATTATGGTAGTAATCACTAGCTAGCTTGTGGTTCTTATCACGGTGGTTTGCACTATCAATTCTGCGTATCATGGGGTGTCATCACCTCCATTCCTCACCATGCACTCGGCCACCTCCCTTCCTGTCGTTTGACTAAGCCCCTTGCTGGGGCCTATGGGCCAATGCCTATGCAGCCTATGCATGGCTCAACCATAAGGCAATTGCGATGTGGCAAAGGCCAAGCGGGTTTTGGTGAGCCACTTTGATTTCGTACCCCGGCGAAGCTGCAGCTACAGGGGTCCCAAAAAAGACATGGAAGTTTCACCATGGTAACTCTAATCAGATATAGATACACAGATTTGATAGAGATATAGATGGAGATGGCGATGGAGAGAGATGGATGGATGGATGAATGGATGGATGGATGGATGGATAGATACATAGATAGATAGACAGGAGGGAAGCACAGATGTTTGCATCTTTTTCTCCGTCCGTATATTCTGATGTGCCCAAGGTCGGAATCTATGAGGATTTGCCCGGCTCCCTCGCCCCTCAGCACACAGCACGGGGATGATAGTGATAGTTGGCGAGAAGGGTGACTGCCCCAAGCTGGCCTTATCCAGATGTGGAAAATATCCTGACTCATGGGTCTTGTTTTGATATTATGTGCGTGCTCTTTTTCCCTCCGTGGACTGTAAGCGCCGAGCTTCAAAACAGTTGTCAGAGTATCCATAATTAGCCATGCAAACCCGAAACCCATGTTTGTTGATGTAATGTACATAGAACTTTATTGCTGTGCAGACTGAGTTAAATCCTTGCCCACTTTTTGGAACTAAATGATGGGTCTTTCTATAAGTCATTGTTGGATTGCTTCCTGACCAAGCATGACCAATGCCATTGCCCCATCTCATTTTTTAATGGAATGTCCACCATCATTTCGGTTGTCCAGAGGTCAGCTAGGCCTCGATAGAAATTGGGGCTTACCCCGAATTGACTGGATTATAAAAATCGTCAAAGCATGAAGAAAGTGATGGAGCCATGGATTTGGCCTCTGGTAATCAAACGTGGCAATGGAAATCCACCCCATATATTTGATGTTCCTATTAAAACACTCCATTGAGAGCTGATTTTCGGATTAAAACCTCCGTTTTCCATCGTTTTCCCATATAACCTCCATGAATTTAGTTGATTTTCCTATATTAAAACATCCTTTTATTTATAATGGATTTTCCCATATTTTCCCATGAAAAACGCCATGTTTCATGGGATGAGCCCAGCTGGGTTTCAGGCTTCCCTCGCCTGGCTCTACGGCAAGAGCCCCGAAGGGATGGGAACTTTGGCCCGTGACACCCTGCTGGAGGTGCCATATCAGCCATTATTATTGGTATTATTATTAATGGCAGTTCTTATTAGTATTAAGACTCAAATTATGACTATTATTATTACTGATTACTATATTTGCATATGTAATTGAATACATCTCTTATCATCTCTTTCTCTCTCTCTCTCTCTTTCTCTATTTGTGTTTAGGATGCGTTGGAAAGAATTTTGGAGATGGCTTCAGCATGGTCCACCGACCCCGAGCCTTCTGCAGGTGCCACCCAAAAAACCCGAGAAGTGGAACAAGGCGGACCTTGAATTGGCGAAGAACATCACTGCCAAGGACTGGAGCTGGGTCAGGGAACAAGTGACCGGGTATACCATTGGGTTGCAAGAAACAGATCTCGATGTTTGTTTGTTTCAGATGTTTATGGGATTTGCTGGGGTTTGGCATGTTTTTCTGTACTATGTCGCACTTCTTATGTATCTAAATTGCTATAGTTAGGTTTCGGGAGTAAGTAAGTTGCTCAGGGGAAGTGTCATGAAACTATAAGAAAGAACAGCATTTTGTTAAAGAAACCCTGACTTCGTATGATTTCGTGGCTTACTGGGCTACTATACTTGTTTCCTGGGTTGGTTTCCACCCATGGGCATTTGGTCTCCCCTCATAAACCCACCCAAATTTGTCAGGACAGGGACATTTATGACTTTGCCACGGAATTGTTTAAGCGACAGTCCGCCTGGTCCTCGAGTGCTGGTTCCACCCGGGAGGGGAATGACGGTAAGAGCCAGAACTTGGTGGACATAGCCAGCGAACAAACGCACTTGTTCATGTTCTTCATGTTTCTTTTAGGGTGGTGGTGGTGGTGGTACATCTTAGATGATAAAACACGCTAAAACTTGATAAAACCATGAATCTTTGAGATTGTTGTTTGCTCTCAAAAATGCGGGCACCAATCGGATCACAAAAGGCTGGTCATTCTGGTCATTCTTGCTGTTGGCGGGTCATTGCTTGCGTTGAAGGTCATTAAAGCTGAAAGCATCCAGCATATCAGCATCACTCTGGAAGTGTCAAGTTCTTCATGATTTGGGCCACAGTGTAGACCGTCACATGCCCCACTATTCCCATCTATTCGCTACGTTTTGATTGATCCACAGTCAGCTATGCTGTATTCTCCGTGCAGCATTGCTGGTTTTTGAGATGATAAAGCAATCTATTTCGAGAACGTGTTTTGTGTTTCATTTCATTCCCTATATATCTCCACACAGTTTCCGGCCCCCGGGAGCAATGAGGTGAGCATGTGGAACAATGAGAATGTGTGGAAAGACCAAATCAAGAAGCTCGAGAAAGCTTGGAACACGAAATGGGAACCTGAGTGAGCTGCCAGTCTGGGCTGCTTCATTTGAGTTCCGGTCTGCGTCCTGTGCTGCTGGAGCTAATTTTGGCTGAGTCTAAGAGAGCCATGGGGCATCTAAATACAGAGAGATCTGTCAAAAATTGACCATTTTGGCGGGTGAATTGATGGGTTTCTATTTGTTTCTTTACTTGTTTGGGGGGCCCAGTTCAGACCATATATCGCTGATCGCGTTGTCCCCTTTTGGTCAAGGCAGTAGTTAAGCCGGCCTGGGGTCTTTTGCTCAGCAAAGCCGGAGGCGAAGACATCACAGTAAAAAATTGCTGGCGCCAGTGGACACGCCGTCATTTTTTCCGGTGTATGGTTGGCTCAGGCTAGAGTGTAGAGCCAACGAAACTATGTATAATTTGCAGCAATGACGATACAAGATGAAAATTAGCATAAATAAGCCATCTAAGCAAACAGCATGTGGATACACCTGGCTGGTGGTTTTGAAATATCTACACATATATCAGATACCCTCCGGTAAACCAATAGTTCGCTATGGAAAATCACCATCTTTAATAGGTAAATCACGTATTTTTGTGGGCCATGTTGGCAAACTGTTCGTCATTGTCCCGCTAGGGGCTTAGAAAATTCCCGATTTTTTAAGGGACCTTCAGTTGACCCAGTGACTTAGAAAACACCAAATTCGTGCTACAAACGCTGATTTTTATTAGGTACCTTCAGGCACGTTGAGGTGGTAATTGCAGGTGATCTCTTAGCGAACGTTTGGTCAGTGTTTAGTATTACATGTATTACCCTCCGGCAGTCAAACATAGCAACACGGGAAATATGCCAGTTGTATGACTTTCCCAGCGAACTAAAACCTCGTTAGATCTCGTTGAGTTCTTACGGAGTTTCCAGCGACGTTGCCGGGGCGGGAGGTGAATGACCTGAACGACCACCTGGCGGAACTGGTGGACACCCTGGATGACATGGATGGATCCGTAGTGCCTTGTAGATAAAATGGGTCTCCATTTTGGATGTTGACAACGTTTATATACTGGTTGGTGGTTTGGAACATGGAAGTTAATGGTGGTTAATAATGGTTAATAATGGTTAATGAGACAATCTGGTTGGTGGTTTGGAACATTTGTTATTTTCCTTATGCTTTCATAATATATGGGATGTCATCCTTCCCTTCCCATTGGCTAATATTTCAAGATGGTTATTGCACCATCAACCAGTTTAGGCCCAGGCCGATAGGCCGATAGGAGTCCACCAGACCTCCATGAGCAAATCTGGAGAAGTTACGTAACGGCTGCACTGCGACGTCTCTGAATGATCTGTATATATATATATATATGTATAGATAGATAGATAGATAGATAGATAGATAGATAGATAGATAGATAGATATTATATATATACACATAAATGTGTGTGTAACATCTGGGTAGATGTAAAACTTCCTTCTTTTTTCTTCCCTCTTCTCCCTTTTTAAATAATGCAGGAGGCCAGGAACCCATCACTGTCTGTCCTGGCCAATGAAGACCAGACAGTCTGGGGGTGAAAACGTACCTGCAATATTCTTCGCGATGGGACGTGGCTAACCCGAGAACCACCATGCCGTTTTTTAAACAACTTATTTTACATGTTTTTACATGGTCGCCGACAACATCGTCGCCGATGCATATTGGTTGCGGGTAATCTTCGCCGACGACATCGCCGATGACATTACTTTTGGTTACTTAACTTTTCGATCCTTATTCTATTCTTTTTGATGTCGATTCAGGACATGGTGATCATTCAGGAGAACTTCCATTATTCGTAGGATACGTCGTGGATTAGTTTGTTTCTCATTTAATCTGCATGTTACAGGATTCAGTTCCTGCCGGATCACTACAATGATCCATTCTTATCTAGTGTGATTCCTATGGTGAGTCCGACATGGTGCCATAGGGCCAAGTGAGGCAACCCTGTTTGGGGTGAATGTCGACTGAATTGACTTCCGAATTTACACTTTTGAATTAGTAATTCGTTTAAGTAAAGAGCAACAGTGGGCCTTACTGTTATCCACCGTTTTTGGAGATTCTCGCTGCTCCGGCTAACCCCGTGGAATGCATTTCTACTGAGTGAAGCTGTGCCGAACATCCAGAAACCTCCTTTTGCGCTTGCAGCTTTTGTCATGACAGTGGCATTACAACATGCACAAGGATCCTGGCAGGCACACGACTTTCAGGTGTGGTCTTTTTCTTTTGATGGTTGTTTGGTGAGGTGAAACATATTGTGCACCTAATTCGTTGGAACTTGAAAGCCGTTTATGCCAATTGGGGCAAGACTTGACCACGGTCCCAGAAAGGGAATAACGCACGACTTTCAGGTAGTTAGGAACTGAGTCCTGTCTTTAATTAATTGTTTTGGTTTTCTTGTCATCAACTAGTCCCCCATTTGGTCCCTAATTTTCCCCGCGTGCCTCTCCGTAATGTGTCGTGGGGTTTAGGTGTGTGCGCTGTTTTGGTCAGGTCCGTTTCGCCGTGTAGGTTGGTTCCGGAGGTCCGTCTGTTCCCCTCCCCCCCTGCGCTGTTTTTGGCCGTCTGCCCGTCGTGTGTCCGCTTTTTTCTTCCTCTTGCCTTTCAGGGTTTTCCCGGCTCTGCCGGGTGTGTGTGTGTGTGTACCATCTGAACAGATGTAAAACTTCTTATTGGTTTTCACTAGTTTGCAGGGGGCGACAGGGTCGCTGCATGGCTGTCGCCAACGAAGCTCCATGCAGTTGACTAGGATATGGAGTCTGATCAACTCCACGTACCTGCCTTTTTTCGGACATAGCAAGGGGCCAAGCTAAGAACCCCAACCACAATATTATACAATTTGCTGCACTGTTGTCGCAATCTGGAATCAATTTTGACATTTACATGCATCAGAACTTTCCTCAGATTTTCGCCGAAAACCACATCGCCGACAGTATTATGTTTTTTGATCTATTTTCGCCGAGATCATGTCGCCGACGAACTGTGGGTCCTTTTGGGAAACAATCGCCGAAACATTATTGTGGATTCTCAACATGCTGGTTAAAACTCTATGGAATCTGGTTATGACTTCGTTTGACAATATTGGATGCCCTACATCGTTTTCGTGAAGTACCTCATTTGGCTCCTTTACTAATCTAACGATCTAGGCTGGTTTGCATGTTTCAGGATTCAGTTCCTGCCGGATCATATAATGATCCATTCTTGTCTAGTGTGATTTCCATGGTGGCTCCGACATGGTGCCATGGAGCCATTGGAGGCAACCCTCTTCAGGGTGAGTGTTGACAGACTTGAATTCGGAATTCACACATTTTAACTTAGTAATTCGTCTAAGTAAAGGGCAACAATCAGCCTTGCGGTTTTCCAGCCTTTTGAGATTGTCCCGCTGATCTTGTGGTCCCAGGGATTTCTCGCCGATGCGTTTCTTCAACTGTGAAGCTGTTCTGAATTGCCAGAAACTTTTTTATCACTGCAGCTTGCGCATTTGAAGTTCAACATGACATTCACGACAAAAGGCAACAGGCATGTCCTTTTCCTGCAGGTGTGGTCTCTTTGGTTTTTGGTGAGGTGAAACATTTTGTGCATCTAATTCGTTGGAATTTGGAAGCTGTTTTATGCCATTGCGGCACGACTTGACCACGGTCCCGGTGCAGGGAATAATTGCACGACATCTTAGGCAGTTAGGGACTGAATCCTGTATGTGATTGTTCACTTTTGTTTTCATCTACTGAAGCGATGCATCCGTGGAACCCTCCGCCAACGTCATGGCCTGTTCCACCGCAGCCTACGAACGCACCTCCGACGTGGCCGCAATCATCACAAAACGTACATCTATTTGGACATCCTTCAGCCTTGCATCCTACATGGTCTTCTTCAGCTTCGATCATGCCGTCTACATCATCCCCAACATCGTTGCCGTTTACCTCATTGTCTCCGGCTCCTCATGCAGTACCAGGCCCACAGCTCGTACCCACCATGCCTGCACCTTTGGCCTCCGAACCTACAATGGCGCACACCGCTCCTTCGACTTTCCCATCTCCTTCGGCACCCACCGCTCCACCTGCCTGGCCTTCTCCACCGACTTCATCTCCTACGTCGACTCCACCACCTACATCGACTATGCCACCGACTCCTTTGCCAAGTTCCCCTTACCCATCCCATCACATTCAACCTCCATTACAAACGAAAGCATTGATGGTTTCTCCTGATGAACATCTTCCACGGCCTCCTGCAGTTAAGGCAGCTCCCAGACCTCGCTCTGACAAAAGAATGGATCGACCGCGCAGGCCAGCTTCAAAAGCCCCTTCTTCGACTACACCACCAGCACCCACGGCAGCACCGACGTCATCCGTGCCACCCGAACTGGTTGCATTGGGTTCCACTACACAACAACTTGCGGAATCGGTTCGACTTATCCAAGCTCAGCAACAGGTGATCATGGATACTCAACGGGCCCAAGAACAACGTCAGCTACTTCTCCAACAAGATGGACCTCCACCGAACCCTATTCCACCCATACCACCACCTACGCCTGTGCCACCACTGACAGCCACACCTCCACCCGCACCGAAAGCCAGACCTACCGAACCTGACGTTCCGGACCTTCGCATTATTCAAGCCCCAGCCATTGCTCCTCCTCACCCACTACCAGTTCCATCATCCCCAACACGCCGACCAAGATCTAGGACTCCACGACCACGTTCCCATCGACCTTCGGTACATTCTCATCGCCATCGCTATTCTCCTCCACGAGCAGAGCGACCTCGTTCTCCTCTCCCTCGTCATCGATCATCCACAAAACCTGACAAGGGCCGCAGAACCCCATCTCCATACAGACGACGCTCCCCACCACGACGCCGCTCTCCCGTGGTCCCTCGACGTCATCGATCTCGCCCACGTCCACGTTCCGCGACACCACGTCACAGATCCAGAGGCCGTGAAGTCATACTTCGACCAGCTGCGAACCCATCGAATCCGAACTACATCCCCACTCCCGATGTTGATGACACCTGGGGTACATGGAACGACAGTCACTACACCGACAACGACCATCACCACAATCCTCGACCCAATTCTCCTGCCAATCCACCACCAACGGAACCACCAACCAACCCACCAACCCACACTTCAGCACCACTCGGCGCGGTGTCCTTCCGAGTTCCGGACGGCGACAGTGAAAATTCTGAGTTTACAGATACAATTTCGCTCACCAAGTTTGACACGAATGACATCGACCTCGATGAAATGGTGGCGGCGGCCAATGACCCCCATAGGGTCCGTTGCCTTACTGAACTTGACCCCGATCATGTTGTTCCTCTACGCCGATCATTGACCCCGGCTATCTCGCAGCTCTTCAACCAATTTGTGGACGCGATGTTCGAAAGGTTGGCTCAACCATACCGCACCGTCAACAACCATCGTATTTACATCAAAGCAAGTCAAGCCACCGTCAGGAATATTGCCAGGGCCTTTGCACAATCCGACTTACTGGACATCGAACTCGCAAAGCAAACACAAGCCTTCTACATCGAGCCAGAGAACTTGCTGACCATCACGGTTCCCACAGGATTGAAGAAGAAACCAATCTACCGTGGCGAACACATGGGCACCTACCTGATCTACCACAAAACGAGTTGGGAATCAGTTGCCAAAATTCTTGCGGAGGACTGCATTCGCCCGGCAACTTGGACCAAAAACGAAGCCGGCGTGCCGACTCAATACCCATGTTACGGGTTCTTCGGAATGTCCTCGGAGATCGCAGACATAGACCACCTACCCGGCTATGCTGTCAAGATCTGTACCTCTCAGCTCTACAAAATAGGCAAAGGACAAAACCCATCAGGCCTAATGGCCATATGCCGCTCACCCAAATGCATCCGTGCCCTAGCTGGAGGAAATGACCAAATCCAACGCTTGTGCAACCTTGCGGGCATCGCCAAGGGCAAAGACAATGCAACGGCTATGAACTCAAGCGCCGCATC